TTCTCAGATACAGTTAGGGCATGACTGAGAAATAGGAGATGGACTAACTGGTCTCTCCCCATACGTAGCCGTCCAGGCCATCACATCCTGACTCTTCTCATGGTTACTGTTACCTTTTTTCTTTTAAAAATTCATGTCTGAATAGTTATTGTTTGCACATGGTACAAAAGTGAAAGAAAATATGATGAAAAGTAAGTCCCTCCCATCCTGTTGCTCCACTTGTTCAAACCAATTGTTTTCTCTGGAGGCCACTGTTAACCAATTTCTTGTGTACCTTTCTAGAAATATGCTATACATATGCAATTATGTATGCATGTATGGCCTTTTTTCCCCTACTCCAACAGCAGTTTTCAAACACTTTGGTTTTTTCCATGTGTCTGGGAGCTAATTCTCATTAAGATGTTTGGAGCAACTGCTTTTAAAATAAATGCATGGTTTTCTCTTGGGATACATGTACCTCATTTTACTTACTCAGTCCTCTGTGGATGGTCATTTCAAACCATACTACCAAAATAATCTTGTGCCGTAAATCAATTTTTACATGTGTGAGGTTGTCCAAAGGATAAATACTCAGGTGCAGAATTGTTAAGTTAAAGGGTTTTGAATTTAGAATTTTGTTAGGTATTAGAGAATTTCCCCTTGTAAAGATAGTACCAATTCATACTCTGCATAGTGTCACCAAAATAGTGCTATTATTTCATTATTTTGTCTTTGCCAATCTGAGAGCTAAAAAAGGTGATACTTCATTTTAGATTATTATTATTATTTCCTTAATTTTGGTAAAATATGCATAACATAAAACTTACCATTTCAGCAATTTTAGATGTACAATTTAGTGGAACTAATTATGTTCTCACAATGTTGTGCAACCATCACCACTGTCTATTTCCAGAACTTTTTTGTCACCCCAAACAGAAACTCTGTACCCCTTAAGCAATGACTCCCTGTTCCCTTTCCCCCACACCCTGGTAACCCTTCTTCTACTGTCTGTCTCTGTGAATTTTCCTATTCTAGATACCTCATATAAGTGAAATCATGTGGCATTTGTCTATTAATATCTGCCTTTTTCACTTAGCATGTTTCCAGGGTTTTTCCATGTTGTAGTACATATCAGAACCTTACTCCTTTCTAAGGCCAAGCAATCCATTGCATGATAGACCACATTCTGTTCACCCATTCCTCAGTTGATGGACACTTGGGTTGTTTCCACTTTTTTGCTATTATGAATAATGCTTCTATAAACACAGGTGTATATGTTATCTGTTTGAATCTCTGCTTTCAATTTCTTTGGGTTTATTCCAAGGAGAGGGATTGCTGGGTCATATGGTAATTCTCTGTTTAGCTTTGTGACCACCTACCACACCATTTCATTATACTCTGTATTTGCACTTCTCTTACTATAACTGAGTTTGAACATCTTGTCACATGATTGGCTTCTTTGTCATCCTTTACCATGAACTCTGTTTGTCGACTGTGCTCATGTCTGAGCTGGGACACTCCTTATTTCCTTAATGCCTTCCCTTTGGTCTTTCCCTGCTCCAAGAGCAGGGACCCCACCTGTCAACATCACTGTCCAGATTGCATGACATAGAAGCTGTTCCATAAATACTTCTTGCAAAACTGTCCCAAGAGGGTAAGTGGCATTTCTCTGTCCCTCATCCAGTTCCTCAGGGGCCACTGGCTTTCTGCTCCCATCTACACCTTCCTCTCTGTCCCCTCACTGCCACCCAGTGTTACCAAAAGATATTTTATTCATTCATAAAATCTCTCTACCCGCTGTTTTCCTAGCACCTCTGTGATATGGTTGATCAGCATAGAGTCACCACCATCCTTATCTGCAGATCTACTGTGTATTCCAGTGCTACCTGTGACATTTGTCTAACAGAATTTGTCAAACACATGAACCAAAGGTTAATATTCTATCACAGAGACAGAAGGAATTGACAGGCAGAGTGAGTCAATCTTTTTTTAATTACTATAACATAACCATTTAAAAATGTACACTTTAGTGGCATTTAGTACATTCACAGTGTCGGGCAACCACCACCTCTAACTAGTTCCAGAACATTTCCATCCCCCCAAAGGAAACCCTGTCTCGTTAGCAGTCACTCCCCTTTCCCCACCATGACCTCCCCAGTCCTAGGCAATACTAATCTACTTTCTGTCTCTAGGGATTTGCCTATTCTAGAAATTTCATATAAATGGAATCATACATATGTAACCTTTTGGGCCTAGCTTCCCTTCATTTAGGATGATGTATTTGAAGTTCATCCAGACTGTAACATGTAACAGTACTTCATTCCTTTTTATGGCTGAATCATAATCCATTGTGTAGCAAGACTACATTTTGTTTATCCATTCATCTGTTGATGGACATGTAGGTTTTTACCCCTCTTTGGCTACTGTGAATAGTGTATTTGGGTATAAACCTAAGAACGAAATTGCTGGGTCATATGATAATTCTGTTAAATTTTTTGAGGAACCATCAAGCTATTTGACCTCATGTTTGCCTTACATTGGCAAGCACCAGCTGAGGGCTGAACCAGGCAAACATTAGATAATAGAAACGTTGAGCCTGGATCCTCAGACAACACAGAATGCTGTGGCTCACCCTTTCTGGGTGCCTGTCTTTGATGAGACCTATAGCCCTGACTCCTCAGTGGAGAATCATTGGCCTGAGGCTAGGCTTAAATACTGGACTGCTGTGCACCTGGGATTTGCATGAGGACACCTTGGACAAACCCTTTTTCTTCTCTAAAGCCTCAGTTTCCCTGTGTACAGAACAGGAGTATGAGACACCAACAACCTTGGGTTGCTTGGGATTATGCTGATGTGTGAAGATGTTTTGTAAACTATAAAGTGCTATCTGAATCATTGCCCTTGAGAAGTGATGCAGCCCAAAGGTTGCCATGGAGAAGCATTTCATTTGGCCTGTCCAGGACTTAAAAATATTTGAAATAATTACTGGTATTAAAAAGAAAAAAAGAGATCTCCCCTAACATTCTGGGTTTAGGGCTCCTCTTAGAAAAAGAAAGGAAAAAACAAAACAAAACAAAATGGGAAAACCAGGCAATACCAGGCCCAAATCCCTGCTTAGCAACAATTGGCTTGAGCAGGAAATAGCTGCCAATCTCTGTAGGGGTGAAAGTGCTCTATTTTGGGGTTTTTTCTTACTTGGTTACTACCAAGTATTTGAATTTGGAATTCTTGTTATAAGTGTGGGAGGGGCTTTTAAAATAAGGGCATGTGCACAGTAATTAAGACAATTTGGTACTGGTACAAGAACAGACCCACAGATCAGTGAAACAGAATAGAGAGTCCAGATATTAACCCAAACATATATGGTCAATTAATATACAATAAAGGAGCCATGGACATACAGTGGGGAAATGACAGCCTCTTCAACAGCTGGTGTTGGCAAAACTGGACAGCTACATGTAAGAGAATGAAACTGGATCATTGTCTAACCCCATACACAAAAGTAAATTAAAAATGGATTAAAGACCTGAATGTAAGTCATGAAACCATAAAACTCTTAGAAAAAAACATAAGCAAAAGTCTCTTGGACATAAACATTAGCAACTTCTTCATGAACATATCTCCCCGGGCAAGGGAAACAAAAGCAAAAATGAACAAGTGGGACTCTATCAAGCTGAAAAGCTTCTGTACAGCAAAGGATATCATCAGTAGAACAAAAAGGCATCCTACTGTATGGGAGAATATATTCATAAGTGACAGATCCAATAAAGGGTTGACATCCAAAATATATAAAGAGCTCATGCACCTCAACCAACAAAAAGCAAATAATCCAATTAAAAAATGGGCAGAGGAGCTGAACAGACAGTTCTCCAAAGAAGAAATTCAGATGGCTAACAGACAAATGAAAAGATTCTCCACATCGCTGGTCATCAGAGAAATGCAAATTAAAACCACAATGAGATATCACCTCACACCAGTAAGGATTGCCATCATTCAAAAGACCAACAACAACAAATATTGGCAAGGTTGTCAAGAAAGGGGAACCCTCTTACACTGCTGGTGGGAATGTAAATTAGTTCAACCATTGTGGAAAGCAGTATGGAGGTTCTTCAAAAAACTCAAAATAGAAATACGATTTGACCCAGGATTTCCACTCTGTGGAATTTACCCTAAGAATGCAGCAGCCCAGTTTGAAAAAGACATATGCACTCCTATGTTTATCGCAGCACTATTTACAATAGCCAGGAAATGGAAGCAACCTAAGTGTCCATCAGTAGATGAATGGATAAAGAAGATGTGGTACATATACACAATGGAATATTATTCAGCCATAAGAAGAAAACAAATCCTATCATTTGCAACAACGTGGATGGAGCTACAGCATATTATGCTCAGTGAAATAAGCCAGGCAGAGAAAGACAAGTATCAAATGATTTCACTCATCTATGGAGTATAAGAACAAAGAAAAAACTGAAGGAACAAAACAGCAGCAGACTCACAGAACCCAAGAATGGACTAACAGTTACCAAAGGGAAAGGGATTGGGGAGGATGGGTGGGAAGGGAAGGATAAGGTGGAGGGGGGAAGAAAGGGGGCATTATGATTAGCATGTATAATAATGTGGGGGGGAGGGCACGGGGAGGGCTGTACAACACAGAGAAGACAAGTAGTGATTCTATAGCATCTTACTATGCTGATGGACAGTTACTGTAATGGGGTATGTGGGGGGGACTTGGTGATGGGGGGAGTCTAGTAAACATAATGTTGCTCATGTAATTATAGATTAATGATACCAAAAAAAATCAATGTAAGCATTGATAAATGAATGAAAAAAAAATTTAAAGAAAAAAAATTAAGGGCATGTGAAGTATGCTCTTCTGTATAGACTGAGGTTGTATCACCTCATGTTTTGCCAGATTTTTTTTAGGGTATCAACTGGAGGCAGGAATGAGGTACTGGTAGAAGAGGGCTACATCCCTGGTCCTGCCCACAGGCTGGGGCTGACCCCTCCTCTCTCTGCAGGTGTTGCCCCTGCCGGATGGGAGTGACCCCGCGTGTCCGTGCTGGTTGAGGTGGCACACACACCATGTCATCATGTGTCTCTAGCCAGCCCAGCAGCGACCGGGGCGCCCCCCAGGATGACCTGGGAGGAGGGGGCGGCAGCAGTGAAGGCCAGAAGCCCTGTGAGGCCCTGCAGGGCCTCTCGTCCCTGAGCATCCGGCTGGGCATGGAGTCCTTTATCGTGGTCACTGAGTGTGAGTCGGGCTGTGCTGTGGCCCGGGACCGGCCCCTGGAGGCTGAAGGCCGAGAGGTCTCTCTCACTGCCTCCGGGTCCCAGATCCGGCCCCAGCTCTGCAGTCGCAAGCTCTCTCTGCAGGAGCGGTCGCTGCTGGATGCGGACGGGCGCTGCGTCTGCCCAGCGCTGCCCGCCTCGCCCGTGGGCTCCCCGCAGTCCTCGCCGCGCCTGCCCCGGCGGCCCACGGTGGAGTCCCACCACGTCTCCATCACTGGTATGCAGGTGCGTGAGACACATAGCCCCACCGGCCACCCAGGTAGGTTGGGCTCCTCCAGAAGGAATCCAGGGCAACGGGTTGATTCAGGAGGTGAACCCGGGAAGCCCAGGTAGCAGTGGGAAGAGAAGGGCATCAAAGCGGACCTGACTGTCAACTAGGGTTCCTTCTCTGGGGAACCGTGTTTGTCAGTGCAGAACACCAGCCTGAGTTATCCCACTTGGGGGCCTGAGGGAGCTGGGCCTTTTCCACCAACTCCCGCAGACACTAGTGACCTGCCCTGAGCAGGAGCAGAGCAGCTCTGGGGTCAGAGAGCCTCTGGCCAAGATGCAGGTGCTGGCAGGCAGACTTTGTGCCCGGAGCTCTGAAACGGGGTTGGTGGGGCAGAGAGAGGCCTCCCTGCCAACAGCATGCTCGTGCTCCTGCATGTTTGCCTGTACCAGGCACTGTGCTCAGTGCTGTGGTGCATTTCTCATTTGCTCCTGACCACCAACTTCTGGGAGGTAGGCGAGAACTCAGATCCCACCAGGTTCACAGGCCTTCTTGAGTCTGCCCTTCTCCTGCCTTTCTGCAGTCGACTCACAGAGCTCCATCCATCCTGTCTTCTTCACATCCCTCCAATAGCCATGCTTCTTCCCTTCATTAGGCCTTTACCTTGCTGTCCCCTCCGCTTGGAACCTAGCAATCTCTGCAAGACTATCTCCATCTGATGTCCAAGTCTTAACTCAAATGTCACCTCCTTTGAAAAGCCTCTAAAACCACCATCTCTCAACAGCCTGCAGCTCCTCTCTCTGTTGCCCTGTAGACTTACCTTCACTGCACTCATCACCATCTGATGTCTGTTGTTTATTGCCTGTCTCCCACAGCTAGAATGCACGCTCCATAGGAACAATCCTGTCTACCGTTGTGACCCCTAGCATGGTGCCTGGCACATAGTAGGAGCTTGAAAATATCTGTTGAAGGAATGAATGAATTTAATTGGGAGAAGCCAGGACATCAGGAATGGCTTTCTAAAGGGACTGGCATTTAACTACAGTTTGAGGGCTAGGTAGAATTTCGCAATTGGAGATGGGGACACACAGAAAAATGTGAAACTATGTTTGGTGACATTATTGAGTGAGAAGTAGAAGCTGAGAAATGATTTGGCATGACATCATTTTTTGCCTTTCCAAACCCCATCCCAAAACAATATTCTGTTTTTTCAACAGGTGCATGTATGTTTGCATTTACATAAAAAAGGCCTGAAAGTTTATATACCAAACTGATATTAAGGTTTGGGGAGAGGATTAGAAATGTGGCAGGAGATTTCAAGGGTAATAATGGTGGGCTTATCTCTAACACTTGAAATGTTGTTTTCTATCATGTTTCTTTTCCCAGTTTTACTTCTGTATCACCTAACATTTTCCCCCTAACTATATTGAGATATAATTGAAGTAAAATAAACTGTACATATTCCAAGTGTACAATATGGTCAGTTAAACCATCACCCAAATCAAGATCATAGATGCTTCCAGCATCCTTCCTGTCACTTCCTCTTTCCCAGGCAACTGCTGAGCTGCTTTTTATCATTACAGATGAGTTTGCAAGGTCAAGACTTTTTTATAAGTGGACTCATTTAGTATGTACCATTTTTTAGCTTGGCTTGTTTTAGAGCATGATGATTTTGAGATTTGTCCATGGTGTTGCATGTAGTTTGTTTATCCACTTACCGGTTGATGGACATTTAGGTTGTTTCTGTTTTTGACTATTACAAATCAAGATGTAAACGTTTGCATACAAATCTTTGCATGGACACAGGTTTTCATCTCTCTTGAGTAAACATCTAGAAATAGAATGGGGTCCTATGGAAGGTGTTTAAGAAACTGCCAAACTGTTTTCCAAAGAGCTTGCATCATTTAAAATTCCCACCAGCAGTGTATGAAGTTTCATTCTGACAACACTTGGTTTGGTCAGACTTTTTGATTTTAGCCAATCTAATGGGTGTGGTTTTAATTTATTTTTCCCCCTGATTAATCATATTGGACTTCTTTTCATGTGCTTATTGATCTGTGTATCTTCTTTGGAGAAGGTCTTTTCAGATCTTTTGCCCATTTTTTAATTGGATTGTCTTCTTATTAGTGAGTTATAAGAGTTCTTTATGTATTCTGGATATGAGTCTGATATGTGTGTTACAAATAATTTCTCTCAATCTGTGGCTTGCCTTTTGTTTTCTTAGTAGTGTTTCAAAGAGCAAATGTTTTATTTTGCTGAAATCCAATTTATCATGTTTCCTTTTTTATTTTGTACTTTTGTACAAAAAACCTTTTAGAAACAATTAAACCTTTTTCCCAAGGTCACTCAGATTTTCTCTTTTATCATTTTATGTTTTTTATAGGATTAGTTTTTTATGGATTACTTGTTTAATTAAAAATTAACTTTTTAAAAGTGGGAAGAACCTTTAAGAAATTGATAAAGACTACATATTTTTTTTTGAGAGGGCATCTCTCATATTTATTGATCAAATGGTTAACAACAATAAAATTCTGTATAGGGGACTCAGTGCTCAATGTACAATCATTAATCCACCCCAAGCCTAATTCTCATCAGTCTCCAATCTTCTGAAGCATAACGAATAAGTTCTTACATGGTGAACAAGTTCTTACATAGTGAATAAGTTCTTACATGGTGAACAGTACAAGGGCAGTCATCACAGAAACTTTCAGTTTTGATCATGCATCATGAACTATAAACAATCAAGTCAGATATGATTATTCGTTTGATTTTTATACTTGATTTATATGTGAATCCCACATTTCTCCCTTATTATTATTATTATTATTATTATTTTTTTTTTTAAATAAAATGCTGAAGTGGTAGGTAGATGCAAGATAAAGGTAGAAAACATAGTTTAGTTCTGTAAGAGAGCAAATTTAGATGATCAGGTGTGTGCCTGTAGACTAAATGTTAATCCAAGCTAGATAAGGGCAATAAAACATCCACGGATGCAGAAGATTTCTCTCAGAACAGGGGGGGTGAGGTTCTAAGCCTCACCTCTGTTGATCCCCAATTTAAAGACTACATATTTTATGATAATGTTTTTACACTGTACAAAAACTGTGCTGTAAGAAGTCAGGAAAGTGGTCACTCTAGAGAGGGGCCAGTGACTGGGAGATGCCTCTGGGGACCTGGGCATATTCTCCTTCTTGATTTGGGTCATGGTTCATGTGTTTGTTTAACTTGTAAAAAATGTATCTAGCTGTAAACTTGACAATTCATATTCTGTGTGTTTTACTTATTTTCTAGGATTGTGTACAGCTGAATCAGTATACACTGAAGGATGAAATTGGAAAGGTAAATATCCCAGAAGTCAGGCTGGTTTTCCACATCTACCAAGGATGTCTCAGATACCGTGGAGAGAACCCTTACTGGAACTGGGAATGGGAGAAGTGTCCTTGGAGGCAAAGCTTGGGGGAAAGGGTCTCGTCATTAATGGTCCATTTGTTTTATTTTATTTTGTTTTGTTTTCACACCATAATATTAATGTGTTTCTACAAAAACCTAGAAAGCTTCCAAGGAATCCTACATCAGCAACATCAGTGTTGGTTTTTTCCTCACTAAGGTATTCTCACATCTGTTTTTGCTTCTTTTCAGCCAATGGGGAGTATTATTGCAGGGGTCAAAAAACTCAAATGCCAATAGAGAGCAAGTGAATAATATAAATGAGCAGAGTATGCTAGGTATAAGACAGTAGGGAATGGTGAGGATTGTGGAAAACTGTTAACATATGGAAATGATATAGCTCCATTTTTTTGCAAAGTTAGGTCTTCCAATTTTTTCAAAAGAAGCTGAGAACCTGGATTTTTATATCTGATCTTTTTGTTTTTAAATGTCAACCAACTGGAACTTTCTAAAAACTGCAGATCCAACAAAATACAATTGCAGGGCAGATTTGGCCAGTAGCCTGTCAATTTGCAACCTCTGTATTAGGGCCCTCATTTTGTAGATCATAACTTTTGTATAGTAGTCATGGGCATCTTCCTTCATCCAGGGCTCCTATGGCGTGGTCAAGTTGGCCTACAATGAAAATGACAATACCTACTACGTGAGTATCCACATCCCCTTCGTGCCCTCACCCTTGTCTGAAGAGAAAGCCTCCTTTTAAGTACTTGGTTTCCTGGAAGGTGTTCTGAGCTATTGTCTCATTTTATTCTTAGGTCATGTTTATTTTGTGCATTAGGAAGGAAGGGGAGAAATGTGGAGGTGAACTGACTCAGGAAGAATGAATGAATAAATTTCAGCAAACATCTCATATCCTTACTTTGGGCTGCCATTTCTACATCCTCCATAGCTCTGAGCATCAGTGGTAGTGAGACAAATTGCCCTTGTACCTGCAGCTTTGGAGCTCAATGTCGGTTCAAATCATGGCTCAACCATGTGCCCCCGTGTGTCCTTGGGCAAGTGACATAACATGGGGAACCTCAGTTTCCCCATGTGTAAAACAGCCGGTCATATTCCCCTCCCTTGCCCATCACTCCAGCTCACTCTTGTCTTGATTCAGTGCTAGTGAGTTCCAAGGCTTGTTTGTGGTCTCCCAGCTGGGAAAGCTGACCTGGAGCCTCAGAAGTACCCTCAGGGCTAGAGAGACCCTGAAAGTCCAGCCTCCACACAACCCATAGCTGTTTGACCCAGTCCACTGTTGAGGCACTTGTTGCATTGTCTTGAGGCTGCCATGGTGTTGAGAGCTTAGGCAGATCTGTGAGTGGAGGGTACTTTTCTTCCATCCCACTCTCCATTTTAACCGGGACATGGGGTCTTTTCTCCCACAGGCAATGAAAGTGCTGTCCAAAAAGAAGCTGATCCGGCAGGCGGGCTTTCCACGTGAGTTTGGTTGTCTAGGACCTTTGTTCTTAAGTGCAGGGGCTGGGGCAAGACAGAGATGGTCCCATTGAATGGTGTCCCCTGCAGAGAGTGCTGTAGGTAGATGCCCCAAAGACAGAGCTGGGCCTCCTGCTGAGGTTTTTATATTCATTTTCATTTAAAGATATTTATAAAGTAATATAAATATCAAGTCAAAAAATCCACTAGAGGAAAACAGTTTGGCAGTTCATCAAAAAGTTAAATGTGGCGTTACCATATGACCCAGCAATTCTACTCCTAGGTATATATACCTGAGAGAATTGAAAACACATGTTCACATAAAAGCTTATATGTGAATATTCATAGCAGCACTATTCATAATAGTCAAAAAGTGGAAAAAATCCAAATGTATGTCAGTGGATGAATACCAAAGGTGGTCTATCTATCCAGTGGAGTATTATCCAGCCATAAAAAAGAATGAAGCACTGACACATGCTACAACACAGATGACCTTGAAAATATTACGCTAAGTGAAAGAAGACACAAAAGGTCACCTATTGTATGATTCCACTTATATGAAAAGAAGAGAATAGATAAGTGATTTCTAGGGGCTGATGGTAAGAGGGAGTTGGGTGTGACTGCCAATAGTGCTAGTTTTTTTTGGGGAAAGCCATGAAAATATTCTGGAATTAGATAGTGGTGATGGTTGCACAGCCTTGTGAATGTACTAAAAACTATTGAATTTGAGAATGATGAATTAAAACAATTTAAGTGCAGTAAGACATTTCAATTATATCTACAAAGAAATATAAAAGTACAGGAGGGTTTATAATGGAGAACTTGCTGTACTCCTCCCTCTCCTACAGGCAGCCCCCACTTTTAGCTCTTTAAGGAGCTGGTAATTACTGCATGTGGTCAGATGACAGACCTGTCGGTGAGTGTATCTGTATCAGAGGCTGCTTGTACATAAGCTCCCTGAGAGCAGTGCTGGCTAAAATATAGGGTTGGGCCAAAAAGAGAAAATAGACAAGAAAAAACATATATCCTATCCAAACACCAGGACTCTGGTTTATCCTGCTTATCTGAACTCCGAGCCAGATAATATCTTTGTACCATTATTTCTTGACTTGCTAATTTTTTTTTTTTTGAGAGGGCATCTCTCATATTTATTGATCAAATGGTTGTTAACAACAATAAAATTCTGTATAGGGGACTCAATGCACAATCATTAATCAACCCCAAGCCTAATTCTCAATAGTCTCCAATCTTCTGAAGCATAACAAACAAGTCCTTACATGGTGAACAAGTTCTTACATAGTGAATAAGTTCTTACATGGTGAACAGTGCAAGGGCAGTCATCACAGAAACTTTCAGTTTTGATCATGCATCATGAACTATAAACAATCAAGTCAGATATGATTATTCGTTTGATTTTTATACTTGATTTATATGTGAATCCCACATTTCTCCCTTATTATTATTATTATTATTATTAATAAAATGCTGAAGTGGTAGGTAGATGCAAGATTAAGGTAGAAAACATAATTTAGTGCTGTAAGAGGGCAAATGAGGATGATCAGGTCTGTGCCTATAGACTAAGTATTAATCCAAGCTAGACAAGGGCAACAAAACATCCACGGATGCAGAAGATTTCTCTCAAAACGGTGGGTGAGGTTCTAAGCCTCACCTCTGTTGATCCCCAGTTTCTCACCTGATGGCCCCCCTGCGACTGTGCCTGTCTTAGGTTGTTCCTCCCTTGAGGAATCTTACCTGTCTCTAGCTAACCATTGACTTGTTAATTTTTGATGTTTACTTCTGACTTCCTCTGAGGACAGCTTAAATGACTTCTTAACTCCCTTTCCTGAACCAGGCAATGAAATGATACCATGATGTTTAGCTCCTCTGTGGGTACTGCAGTTGCCACTTTCCTCCTTGTTTCAGCAGGTGTATCAAGTGCCTTTCCTTTGAGCTTGTCTTCCCTCCCTTTAAATACCACTTCTGACACTTGCACCTTTGTTTTTACTTTTCCAAGCATGACAGGTCTTCATTAGTTTCTGTTAATCACACTTAGATCCTTATTTACATGTAGTGTGTGACATAAGTGTTTTGACTGTGGGCCTTTCCATCATTGTGACCTTTTGACTATCAGTCACTGAAGCTGATTGACTCTCCCTTTTGACATTTTTCTCTTATTGGCTCTTAATTCTTTTCTTATGGCTGACTTTATTTTATATCTCTGCTATTCATGAGTTAAAGAGATAAGGGAAATGTTTTTGTCTATTTTATGGAGTGGAAAAACTTATCTCCAGAGAGGGGAAGTGATTGACTTGCCCTGAGATACTGAGATTGCCACATCAGACCCCACACCTCTTTTCTCCATACCTTGCTAAAGTCCCAATTTACTTTGGCTTGAGACATGGGATGGGAAGAAAGGGCTTAACAGTAGGCTGAGGAAGGGGCTAGATCTCTGATATCACTGATTTTCAGCAGCAGAGGACGCATATGAGGAGAAAGCTATATAAACCTCCTGGTGGCATCAGCCATTTCAGCCTCATTGAGAACCCCCATTTCAATTGTCCCACCTGCAGCTGCCATCTTCAGGGGGAAGTCTCTTTGCCCTGACCCTGGTATGGTTCATGTCTCCTTCAGGTCGTCCCCCACCCCGGGGCACCCGGCCAGTTTCAGGGGGCTGCATCCAGCCCAGGGGCCCCATTGAGCAGGTGTACCAGGAAATCGCCATCCTCAAGAAGCTGGACCACCCCAATGTGGTGAAGCTGGTGGAGGTGAGGTGGAGGGACATGGAGGAGGGAGGGGGAGGGATGGTGGTTATCCAGCCCCAGTTCTGTTATTACCCAAGTGCCACACCACTAGTTTCCAGGGAGATCTACATCACATCCGTCTGCTTACTGCAGGGTGGAGTAGTAGCTGTTGTTCCAGTCTCCTTCACCCTTGTTATTTCATATAATCCTCACTCTTCCCTAAGACTATTTTTTAGTCCCATTTTACAGATGAAGAAATTGAGGGTCAGAAGGATGCTAAAGCTTTTGCCCTTCACCCATTTTTGTCTCTTTGGAGCTGGTTCTCTTTCTACTACATGTATGTGTAATTGTAGTACAAAGTAGCCATACATATGTAAACAAACGGGCATGGCTGTGTTCTGATAACATTTTATTTACAAAACAGGTAGAGGGCCAGATTTGGCTTGCACACTGTAGTTTGTCAACTCATGCTCATCTAGATCAGCCGTTGTCATACTTGGTCTCAGGACTCTTGTATGTTCTTAAAAATTATTAAAGACTCCTAAAAGTATTTGCAAATACTAACATTTGTTAGTATTTACCACATTAGAATTTAAAACTGAGAAATTTTACAATGATTTATTCATTTAAAAACAACAGTAATCTTACCATATTTTTATGACAGATAACTATTTCTGAAAAAAAAATAGCAGTATAGTTTTGCATTTTTGCAAATTTGTTGTTGTTTATGTCTGGCTTAAAAGAAGGCAGCTGGATTCTCATACCTGCTCCTGCTTTCAGCCTATTGTGACATCGTATGTCATGTGGTTTCTGGAAAACTCTTATATATTACTAGACAAGAAGAGTGGAAAGGAGAAACATTGCCTTTGTTTTAGAGTGAAAATAGTTTTGACCCTGTGGACTCCCTGAAAGCATCCCGGGGATCCTTTGAAGTCCCCAGGTCATATTTGGAACACCTCTAGTCTAGATGACAAGGACTTGGAAACAGGGTGTGACGAAGTACTTTATTGGATGCATGTTCAAAGTGCTGTGGGAGTAGGAATGGGAGTAGCCAGCCCAGTCTAAGGGGCCGAGGAAGACTTCTCAGCAATGTTGATGGCCTGGGTTGTTCCATGGATAGAGAAGACAGGGAAGGGCATCTCAAGGGAAGGAACAGCATGTACAAAGGGCTGGAGGTCTCTATTTGGGGGGGGGGGTACCTCCCTGCCTTTGGTAGATGTGAAGGTTGGCAGCCATGCCTTGCCTGGGGCCATCCGAAGCAGAACTCTGGGTGGGCCAGGCCCTAGGTCTCACTTCCACCTGCCGGGCAGGGCATAGGGCTCTGGGGTAGCTGCCCTGGGCTGCTGCCTTGGGTGTATCCCTTTTTCAGGGCTCTTAGCCTGTGGATCTTGGGTGTCTGGGGAAGTCAGATGTGGGAAGAGGCAGGAGGACCAGTCTAGCCAAGGATCTAGTCTTTGTTTCTTCTCAAAGAAGAGAAATGGTGGCCACAGGCCCTCTCCACCTGTCAAACCGAGTTTCTCAATCTCAACTCACTGATCTTGACTTGGCCATTTTAAAGGAAGCCTAAGGGCACTTGGTTAGTGAGTGGCTCTGGGTCCTGGCAGGATCTGCCTTCTCCCCGCTGCCCTGTGGCATCTGACCTATTCACCCAACAAGACTGTCTGCCAGCCTGCCTGTTTGTTCATTCATCAGATCTTTCCTGAGCACCTACTATGTGCCTTGTCCTGTACAGGGCACCACGGAGGCAACTGAAGTGGATACAGCCTTGTGCATGCCCTTTGCAGAGAGGGAGGAAGATACAAATAGTGATAAAATGAAAGCAGAAGGCCATGAGAGGAGGAGAGAGGAAGTGCTGTGGCATTTTGAGGCAAGGAGACATCATTTCCTGCTGGTGTGGAAGTTATTGGAGTTACTTTCCTTCATAGAAGAGTCAAAGAGCACAGGCAGGATTTGAATTTTCACCCTGAGTATCAGTCTGTTGTTGCCTAGGATACAGTGGGAATTCCTACTCAAGCTGAGACATTTCTTGGTGAAGAATTTGCCTTTCCCTTTGTAGCCTCCTTTCTGGGTGTTTTGGACCCTTGAGGACTGGGCATATTTTCCAGATGGCCATTTGGATCTCGCACTCTGGGTTTTTCCTGCGCCTGTCATTCTTACTAGGAAAAGCAGTGGACTGCAGCTCTCCCGCTGGCAAACACAGTCATGTGGATGCTGCCTCCTGCTCACGACTTTTCTTGCTCTTCCTTCCTCTGCTTCTCGTCTCCGGTCTGTTCCATGTGTCTGTGCCAACAGGTTCTGGATGACCCCAACGAGGACCATCTGTACATGGGTAAGAGAGCCCTTGCCTTCTGCCACCCAGGCCCCAGGGTCCTCTCAAAGCACCTCCTGGACTGGCCCCTCCCACCAAGGGCAGCTTCCCCTTTCCCATTCCAGCTGGGCTCCACAGTGGGCCACACATAAAGCAGCAGCCCTGTTTGAAGCAGGAGGTGGAAGGGAGTTCTTGCTGGGAACTTTATCTGGATGCCCTTTTCATTCACTTGCATATATTTATTGAGCACATACTATATGCTAGGTGCCATTTTAGGATAAAGATGATGAAGCTGACATTCTAGTCAGGGAAGACACAACTAAATAAACCTAGATAACTTCAGATAGCTCCTCAAGAAGGTTAAACAAGGTGATGTAAGAGGGAGAGATGGAGGGGGTCACATACAGCACCTGAATGTCAAGGGCACAGCTCTGTTACATCTGGGGAACAGCATTCCAGGCAAAATCAATAGCAGTTGCAAAGGTCCTGAGGCTGGTGAGAGCTTAATGTGTTTGAGAAAAATGTGGCTGTGTGGATGGAGATGGATGGTCTGGGAGGCCATGTTGGGGCATTTGGAGACCTGAGGGCTCTTGAAGGTCTGGACACTGCACATGGAAATGGGAGGATTCAAGGGCATCCTCAGAGACCTCTTTTTTAAATGATGAGGACATGGGGCAGCCCTCAGTCAGCTTTCAGTGTAAGCACTGATGAGGGAAGAAAGGGAAGGACTAATTCAAAACTGGACAGCAAACTCTCGGGCCCAAGATCAACAGTGCATGTGTCCTGGTAATGTCTGGCTTGGGTGGGGATTCAGATGAGCCTGTGCATTTTTAGTGGGTATCAAGATTCTAGGAGGGGTATCAAGTAGATGAGGGAAGTCGGCATGACTAGGCCCAGCCTGGAATCCAGAAGTCTCCTGGATGAGCACAGGGATGATCCTTTGCTGCGTGAGGAGTAGTTGATCAATGTAATGGATATGGTTTGAAAATAGAGCTCAGAGCTCAGTTTTCCTAAAGTAGTTGCTGTGGTTCAGTTCCCAGATGCTGCTGTTGCTCAAGATATTTTTCATTTTTCCCCTTAGGTTTTTATTGTGAGAAATGTTAAGCCTACAGAAAAGTTGAAAGAATAGCACAGTGAATACTTGTATACCTACTACCCAGATGGAACAGTAAATTTTTGTTGTATTTACTTTATCAGTCTAGCTACCTACCTGTTTTCTGCATTTTTTTTTTTTGCTAAGCCATACAGAAGTAGCAGACATCTTGACACTTCAGCCCTTAAATACTCAAGTGTGCATCACATAAATAGGATATTCTCTTAGATGAATGCAACACTATTATCATATCTGAAAAAATGAATTCCTCTTCCCTGAGAGCATCTAATGTGCAGTTCACATTCAAATTTTAGAACTTCAAAGCCTTCCTGTAGAAGTGAAAAAGCCAGTCACAGAATGTCATGTGTTGTATAATTCCATATATATGAGATGTCCTGAATAGGCAAATCCACAAGAGAAAGCAGATTAGTAGCTGCAAGGGGCTGGGGGCAGGGCCATGGGGAGTGACTTAAATGGCCGAGGCCAGCAGGTGAGGTTGGAGGGGTTGGGACTAGAACTAGGTAGAGGCCGATTTAGTATTCATAAAGTTTAGTATTCACAATTTTGTGAATACTAAATGCCTCTGAGTTACACACTTTTAAATAGTTAATTTTGTATTATGAAAATTTCATCTCAGTTTTTAAAAGTGCAAAACCCTCTGACACCAACAAAAACACTGTGCATTCCCTGAATACACTTTTTCTAGTGCTTGGTGACTGGGGAGCTTCCATACATACATGGGGCTGGGAAGAACTTGGTGTGGTGTGAGGCATTAGTGTGTCGTGTGTGAATGTGGGACAAGGGCCCTGTTTAGGAGGAATGGGATGGCTTGGCCTTGGAGACAGTGAGGAACTCTCCATCCCATCTCTAGCTCCAAGCCTTGGTCTGGATTGAGTCACAGGAAAGAAGCTGAGGACCAGGTGACCACGGAGCATTGAGGAGTTGGCATAATATTATTCAGCCATTCTTGGTCTGTAGCCTGACACACCCTGGCAGCTGGAAGAACGTAGGAGGGGTTGCTTTTGCTGTTTCTTGAATTGAAACTTTTGTACAGTTCTCAAGACCTCCAGGGTTAGTTCTTTGTGCATAAGGAAATTGACATTTGGGCCATGTCCCCTTAGACCTGTTCTTTGGCACGAGGTGGCTCAGGACCTGGGTGTGTGTGACTAGGAGGATGTAGTTTAGCATCAGTCATAGCCCTAGAACTTCCAAGGCATGAATGGAGAGGCGAAAGAAGCTCATGGGCTGCCCCCACCTGTCTCCTGTCTCCCTGTTTTGTTTGCTCTGGCAGAAAGTCTTCAGCTATTTTGAGAACTGGAAGAACAGCCAGACTGGGGTCCCAGGGACAGCATAAATCTCTACCCTGCATCCTCCTGATGGAACTTAGAAAAGCAGGACCTTGAGCAGCTTTGGTTTGGGGGGCTTTTCCTCTCCCCAGCCCCAGTATTAGTTTCTGTGCTTCTTGGTGTTTCTAGGGAGGTGGGGAGGATGGGGAGGAAGATGGATCTTCAATTTCCCAATGTAACAATTCACCCCCTTCTTTTCCCTACAGTCTTTGAACTGGTCAACCAAGGGTGAGTGTCCCCACTTCCGCTGGGTTTGATGCCTGAAGCTGCTTGAGCTGCAAAGCTGAGCGGGCCAGGGCTGGGCTCTGCTGTGTGTCTGGTTTGCTTTTCATGCATGTGTCCACCTTTCAGGCCTGTGATGGAAGTGCCAACTCTCAAACCGCTCTCTGAAGACCAGGCCCGTTTCTACTTCCAGGATCTGATCAAAGGCATTGAGTACTGTAAGTGGGACCTGCAAGAGGACTCTCACCTGGGGCAGGGGGGTGGGAGGATGGTTAGCATTGCCAGGTAGTAGATGGTAGGCAGAAAGTTTCTTGTTTCCCTCCTGGAGTATAAGGAAGTGGGTAGGAAACAGAATTGTCTGAGATGCAGGATCACAGACATTTGCAGAGAGCCCTCCTGAGGCCATGCCACTGGTGAGCAGAAATCCTTCTTCCTGCCATACAGAAAAATTAAGAGCAATAGTGATAATGACCATTTATCCAGTACTTTCTATGTGTGCCAGACATTTAGGGGCTCCATTTGCATTGTCCCTTATTCCTAACAACCTTGGGACAGGGATCCTGTTAACCTCCTGGAGGCTTAGTTTTCCTCATCTGTAAAATGGGAATAAAGTATCTCACTGGGGCTGAAATCAGCCAATAGTTCTGACTGGCATGAGCAGTTCTGACTGGCAAGTGTCCTTTTTGCTTCCAGTTGTTAAAAATGTTGATGTTACCACATCAAATTATTGTGAGATTTAAGTGGGATAAATGGGTATCACTTACACAGAGTAAGACCCCAGACTGGGTGCTCAACAGAGCTGCTGCTCCTGTTACTGATGTAATCCTGTCAGCAGCAGTGGGATCTTCTAGGCCATAGGACTCTCCTCTCCCATGGGCTGATAGGCAGGAACAGTTAGCTCAGTCCCTAAATCCTGCTTTGTGGTTCATACTTCAAATCCACCTGCTCTAGTCATTGTTGGGCTGGTGAACAGGTTGAGCATTGGCATTAGTAAATGAAAATATGTTTTACTGTCACAAGTCTTGAGGCTTTTAGCTGGGCGCCAAGCTCAACAAAAACTGTGCATGCACTGTCCACCTGGCTTAGACTCTTAAGGAGGTTATAATTGTTATTGGCAGTTGGTGTTTTTCTCCACATTTTTGAGGACCAAGGACCAAGAACTCTCTTAAAGACACACTTTTCGTCTAATCTTCAGAGCTGTGGGTGTCAAGCAGGTTTGGGAGGGGAAGGCTGAGACAGGCTTGGGGCTGTGGGAGAACATAGGGGGCTATGCCTGTATCTGGGCTATATGGGCCATATGGGTCTGTATCTGGGCTATATGGGCCACATGGAGCTCCTCACATGCTTTTCCTGGCCTCTCTCTCCCATCCCAGTACACTACCAGAAGATCATACAATCTGCCAGCCTGCCTGTTTGTTCATTCATCAGATCTTTCCTGAGCACCTACTATGTGCCTTGTCCTGTACAGGGCACCACGGAGGCAACTGAAGTGGATACAGCCTTGTGCATGCCCTTTGCAGAGAGGGAGGAAGATACAAATAGTGATAAAATGAAAGCAGAAGGCCATGAGAGGAGGAGAGAGGAAGTGCTGTGGCATTTTGAGGCAAGGAGACATCATTTCCTGCTGGTGTGGAAGTTATTGGAGTTACTTTCCTTCATAGAAGAGTCAAAGAGCACAGGCAGGATTTGAATTTTCACCCTGAGTATCAGTCTGTTGTTGCCTAGGATACAGTGGGAATTCCTACTCAAGCTGAGACATTTCTTGGTGAAGAATTTGCCTTTCCCTTTGTAGCCTCCTTTCTGGGTGTTTTGGACCCTTGAGGACTGGGCATATTTTCCAGATGGCCATTTGGATCTCGCACTCTGGGTTTTTCCTGCGCCTGTCATTCTTACTAGGAAAAGCAGTGGACTGCAGCTCTCCCGCTGGCAAACACAGTCATGTGGATGCTGCCTTCTGCTCACGACTTTTCTTGCTCTTCCTTCCTCTGCTTCTCGTCTCCGGTCTGTTCCATGTGTCTGTGCCAACAGGTTCTGGATGACCCCAACGAGGACCATCTGTACATGGGTAAGAGAGCCCTTGCCTTCTGCCACCCAGGCCCCAGGGTCCTCTCAAAGCACCTCCTGGACTGGCCCCTCCCACCAAGGGCAGCTTCCCCTTTCCCATTCCAGCTGGGCTCCACAGTGGGCCACACATAAAGCAGCAGCCCTGTTTGAAGCAGGAGGTGGAAGGGAGTTCTTGCTGGGAACTTTATCTGGATGCCCTTTTCATTCACTTGCATATATTTATTGAGCACATACTATATGCTAGGTGCCATTTTAGGATAAAGATGATGAAGCTGACATTCTAGTCAGGGAAGACACAACTAAATAAACCTAGATAACTTCAGATAGCTCCTCAAGAAGGTTAAACAAGGTGATGTAAGAGGGAGAGATGGAGGGGGTCACATACAGCACCTGAATGTCAAGGGCACAGCTCTGTTACATCTGGGGAACAGCATTCCAGGCAAAATCAATAGCAGTTGCAAAGGTCCTGAGGCTGGTGAGAGCTTAATGTGTTTGAGAAAAATGTGGCTGTGTGGATGGAGATGGATGGTCTGGGAGGCCATGTTGGGGCATTTGGAGACCTGAGGGCTCTTGAAGGTCTGGACACTGCACATGGAAATGGGAGGATTCAAGGGCATCCTCAGAGACCTCTTTTTTAAATGATGAGGACATGGGGCAGCCCTCAGTCAGCTTTCAGTGTAAGCACTGATGAGGGAAGAAAGGGAAGGACTAATTCAAAACTGGACAGCAAACTCTCGGGCCCAAGATCAACAGTGCATGTGTCCTGGTAATGTCTGGCTTGGGTGGGGATTCAGATGAGCCTGTGCATTTTTAGTGGGTATCAAGATTCTAGGAGGGGTATCAAGTAGATGAGGGAAGTCGGCATGACTAGGCCCAGCCTGGAATCCAGAAGTCTCCTGGATGAGCACAGGGATGATCCTTTGCTGCGTGAGGAGTAGTTGATCAATGTAATGGATATGGTTTGAAAATAGAGCTCAGAGCTCAGTTTTCCTAAAGTAGTTGCTGTGGTTCAGTTCCCAGATGCTGCTGTTGCTCAAGATATTTTTCATTTTTCCCCTTAGGTTTTTATTGTGAGAAATGTTAAGCCTACAGAAAAGTTGAAAGAATAGCACAGTGAATACTTGTATACCTACTACCCAGATGGAACAGTAAATTTTTGTTGTATTTACTTTATCAGTCTAGCTACCTACCTGTTTTCTGCATTTTTTTTTTTTGCTAAGCCATACAGAAGTAGCAGACATCTTGACACTTCAGCCCTTAAATACTCAAGTGTGCATCACATAAATAGGATATTCTCTTAGATGAATGCAACACTATTATCATATCTGAAAAAATGAATTCCTCTTCCCTGAGAGCATCTAATGTGCAGTTCACATTCAAATTTTAGAACTTCAAAGCCTTCCTGTAGAAGTGAAAAAGCCAGTCACAGAATGTCATGTGTTGTATAATTCCATATATATGAGATGTCCTGAATAGGCAAATCCACAAGAGAAAGCAGATTAGTAGCTGCAAGGGGCTGGGGGCAGGGCCATGGGGAGTGACTTAAATGGCCGAGGCCAGCAGGTGAGGTTGGAGGGGTTGGGACTAGAACTAGGTAGAGGCCGATTTAGTATTCATAAAGTTTAGTATTCACAATTTTGTGAATACTAAATGCCTCTGAGTTACACACTTTTAAATAGTTAATTTTGTATTATGAAAATTTCATCTCAGTTTTTAAAAGTGCAAAACCCTCTGACACCAACAAAAACACTGTGCATTCCCTGAATACACTTTTTCTAGTGCTTGGTGACTGGGGAGCTTCCATACATACATGGGGCTGGGAAGAACTTGGTGTGGTGTGAGGCATTAGTGTGTCGTGTGTGAATGTGGGACAAGGGCCCTGTTTAGGAGGAATGGGATGGCTTGGCCTTGGAGACAGTGAGGAACTCTCCATCCCATCTCTAGCTCCAAGCCTTGGTCTGGATTGAGTCACAGGAAAGAAGCTGAGGACCAGGTGACCACGGAGCATTGAGGAGTTGGCATAATATTATTCAGCCATTCTTGGTCTGTAGCCTGACACACCCTGGCAGCTGGAAGAACGTAGGAGGGGTTGCTTTTGCTGTTTCTTGAATTGAAACTTTTGTACAGTTCTCAAGACCTCCAGGGTTAGTTCTTTGTGCATAAGGAAATTGACATTTGGGCCATGTCCCCTTAGACCTGTTCTTTGGCACGAGGTGGCTCAGGACCTGGGTGTGTGTGACTAGGAGGATGTAGTTTAGCATCAGTCATAGCCCTAGAACTTCCAAGGCATGAATGGAGAGGCGAAAGAAGCTCATGGGCTGCCCCCACCTGTCTCCTGTCTCCCTGTTTTGTTTGCTCTGGCAGAAAGTCTTCAGCTATTTTGAGAACTGGAAGAACAGCCAGACTGGGGTCCCAGGGACAGCATAAATCTCTACCCTGCATCCTCCTGATGGAACTTAGAAAAGCAGGACCTTGAGCAGCTTTGGTTTGGGGGGCTTTTCCTCTCCCCAGCCCCAGTATTAGTTTCTGTGCTTCTTGGTGTTTCTAGGGAGGTGGGGAGGATGGGGAGGAAGATGGATCTTCAATTTCCCAATGTAACAATTCACCCCCTTCTTTTCCCTACAGTCTTTGAACTGGTCAACCAAGGGTGAGTGTCCCCACTTCCGCTGGGTTTGATGCCTGAAGCTGCTTGAGCTGCAAAGCTGAGCGGGCCAGGGCTGGGCTCTGCTGTGTGTCTGGTTTGCTTTTCATGCATGTGTCCACCTTTCAGGCCTGTGATGGAAGTGCCAACTCTCAAACCGCTCTCTGAAGACCAGGCCCGTTTCTACTTCCAGGATCTGATCAAAGGCATTGAGTACTGTAAGTGGGACCTGCAAGAGGACTCTCACCTGGGGCAGGGGGGTGGGAGGATGGTTAGCATTGCCAGGTAGTAGATGGTAGGCAGAAAGTTTCTTGTTTCCCTCCTGGAGTATAAGGAAGTGGGTAGGAAACAGAATTGTCTGAGATGCAGGATCACAGACATTTGCAGAGAGCCCTCCTGAGGCCATGCCACTGGTGAGCAGAAATCCTTCTTCCTGCCATACAGAAAAATTAAGAGCAATAGTGATAATGACCATTTATCCAGTACTTTCTATGTGTGCCAGACATTTAGGGGCTCCATTTGCATTGTCCCTTATTCCTAACAACCTTGGGACAGGGATCCTGTTAACCTCCTGGAGGCTTAGTTTTCCTCATCTGTAAAATGGGAATAAAGTATCTCACTGGGGCTGAAATCAGCCAATAGTTCTGACTGGCATGAGCAGTTCTGACTGGCAAGTGTCCTTTTTGCTTCCAGTTGTTAAAAATGTTGATGTTACCACATCAAATTATTGTGAGATTTAAGTGGGATAAATGGGTATCACTTACACAGAGTAAGACCCCAGACTGGGTGCTCAACAGAGCTGCTGCTCCTGTTACTGATGTAATCCTGTCAGCAGCAGTGGGATCTTCTAGGCCATAGGACTCTCCTCTCCCATGGGCTGATAGGCAGGAACAGTTAGCTCAGTCCCTAAATCCTGCTTTGTGGTTCATACTTCAAATCCACCTGCTCTAGTCATTGTTGGGCTGGTGAACAGGTTGAGCATTGGCATTAGTAAATGAAAATATGTTTTACTGTCACAAGTCTTGAGGCTTTTAGCTGGGCGCCAAGCTCAACAAAAACTGTGCATGCACTGTCCACCTGGCTTAGACTCTTAAGGAGGTTATAATTGTTATTGGCAGTTGGTGTTTTTCTCCACATTTTTGAGGACCAAGGACCAAGAACTCTCTTAAAGACACACTTTTCGTCTAATCTTCAGAGCTGTGGGTGTCAAGCAGGTTTGGGAGGGGAAGGCTGAGACAGGCTTGGGGCTGTGGGAGAACATAGGGGGCTATGCCTGTATCTGGGCTATATGGGCCATATGGGTCTGTATCTGGGCTATATGGGCCACATGGAGCTCCTCACATGCTTTTCCTGGCCTCTCTCTCCCATCCCAGTACACTACCAGAAGATCATACACCGGGATATCAAACCCTCCAACTTGCTGGTCGGAGAAGATGGGCACATCAAGATCGCAGACTTTGGTGTGAGCAATGAGTTCAAGGGCAGCGACGCACTACTCTCTAACACTGTGGGAACGCCTGCCTTCATGGCACCTGAGTCGCTCTCAGAGACACGGAAGATCTTCTCTGGGAAGGTAGGGTCCTACCGGAGATGCTGAGTTCTACCACGTTAAGGTCCATTCCGTTTTAAGTGGCAAAAATCCAACTCAAACTGGCTTAAACAAAGGCTCCATTGGATTGTGTAAATGAGAAGGGGGTACATTCGGCTTTAGGCTTGGCTAGATAGAGGGATTCAGATAGGAATCCATCTCTCCATCTCTCAGCTGTTTTCTGAATTGGCTTTTCCCCAGGTGGGTTGGCACCAGGATACTTCCCATCAGCGTAAGACCTCAATGGATAGGATATCTTTTGTCCAAAGAGTGCCTAGATTGGCTCTGATTGGCCCCACAAGGGACATGTGCCCATCCTTGGACCAATCACTGTGATTGGGGGAAGTGGTGCTCTCATTGGCTAGACCTGGGTCATGTGCCTACCCAGAGGCCAGGAGGCAGGTTAGATCCATTCCTAATCCATGGACTGAGTATGGAAGAAGTGGTTCTCCAAAGGAAAGCTGTAGGATTGGATGCTGGACCTACAACTGCAGTAGACAACTTTCCCTACCCCTTGTCCTCTCACATGTAGCTCTCTTTTTTTCTTACAGGCCTTGGATGTTTGGGCCATGGGTGTGACACTGTACTGCTTTGTGTTTGGCCAGGTAACAGGGTGGGGTGTCCTGTCTCCTGAGTGTTGCTAGGTGGCCCCCTTAGATTAATAGTTACCCTTACAGGGAGACAGCATTTATTCATTGAAAAGTTATATTATTTTATTTCCACAGTTAGGCCTGGGTATGGAAAGGATGCTTTTCCAAATGTACATATCTGTATATAATAGTCACACCTGTGAAAAAATGGTATGTTAAAACAAGGATTGGCAGAGGCTATAAATAGTTGTAAATAGAGGCTGTAAACAGAGGTTGTAAATAGTTGATGAATTTAGGGCAAAGACAGCAAATGTGCCACCTCTCCCCACTCTTAAACCAGAGGAAGACATCAGTAATCAATCACTGCACTCTTTCCTCCTGAGCCCAGTACTGCTTTGATGTTCTTCTCAGGAGAATGTTCCTAAAAGCTGTTGTTGGAGGGATAGGATTGGAATGGAAGTTAAAGTCCATTTGGCATTATTTTGGTTTAGTGAGTGCCATTTTGTCTGTCTTGTTATTGTTTCTTTGTTGTTATTTTTTATATTATTGATATTTAGGGGCTCTGTTTTTAACTTTGAAGTTCAGATTGATTGTGTAATGAAAGTGTGGATTTTTCCTTTTCATGAGCTTATACTCCTATTGAAGAAAGCTTAAGAAATTGGTACCAGGAGGAAGTAAAGGATTTTATAATCTGCACTCCCCCCAACATTTGATTAGAAAAATTTCAGCCATATAGCAAAGTTGGAAGAACTGTACAGTGAACACCCATGTAGCCATCACTTGGATTTCACCGTAACTGTTTTACAGTACTTGCGTTATCACATCTGTCAATCCTCAACATGTCTCAATTTTTTTATACATTTCAGAGTAAAGGCATCTTTATACTTCCTTCCAAGTGTAGTCATTAAATAGAGCTTACTATTTGTTCATGGCTCTGTTTTTTCTTTTAGGGTAAACTTTACATGTGATGAAATATACAGATCTTAAATGTACTATATAATGAATTCTGTCAAATGGGTACACCTGTGCAGTCCAGACTATCTCAAGTCACTGCTCTTAATGAAATCATTTTCCTTGGATAAGAGTGGACCAGGTCACATTTTGTGACCTTTTCCAACCTCATGAGCACCCTGCATAAAGGTTCCTTTTTTCCAGAATAATACCTGAGTTCCTCCTGGGTTAGGCCCTCTATTGGTGTAAGCACTGATCTGAGCTTCTCTAAAATAAGAGGAATATTCTTATGGCTTCTGAGAGGATCAGAAATAATTCAAGCATTCATTAATTCAACAGTTTATTGAGCCCCTACTTTGTGCCAGGGATGTTCCTGGGCACAGAGGAGTCAGCAGTGAGCAAGACAGACAAAAGTCCCTGCTCTGCTGGAGCTGATGTCCCGATGCAGTAGTTAAACAATGAGCAAATATATGTGTAATACAATATCAGAGATAGGGGCTATGATGAGAAATCACATGGTGATGGGGCGGGGTGTCTGTTTGAGACAGGAGCTCAGGAAGGCCTCCCTGAGAAAGTGAGCTTTTATCAGACACCTGGACGATAGGGAAAAACAAGCTATGCATATGTTGGTGGGTAGAACATTCCAGGCAGAGGGAACAGCCAATGAAATGTTGCTCTGAAGAAACCTCAGTACAGGGCCTGGCCCAGGCTAAGCTCTCACAAATCTGTTTTGTGATTTGTGTTCCCTCTTTTGTATTCTTAGTATTATTATCCTTCACTTGGCAGGTGGGTGAAGAAGAGTGTTTGCTTCTAAATAAGTAGGTAAATTAAAGCCCAGTTAGAGAGGAAAGCCACAGTGTAGTTGGGGAAGGGCTGTAGCCCTTCTAGAAGGATATTCCTGGTCCTTATTAAACTCTGGCGGACGGGAACTGCTTCCTCCGTAAACCAGGTCACTGGGCTATTTATTTCTCTTCTGTAACCCCTGTGGCTTAAATGCCAGAGCAGGGAAGCACTTGCAGGACAGTGTGTCAGCCATTGACAGCTGCTCTGTCCCTGACCCTCTTCACAGTGTCCGTTCATGGATGAGCGAATCATGTGCTTACACAGTAAGATCAAGAGTCAGGCCCTGGAATTCCCAGATCAGTGAGTAGCATCTGTCCGCCACCTCCCTCTCTGAGCCCTTGGTCATGGTGTTTATTTCCCACCCTGATGTGTCTCCTGTCCCCAGGCCTGATGTAGCTGAGGACCTGAAGGATCTGATCACCCGCATGCTGGATAAGAGCCCTGAGACAAGGATTATGGTGCCAGAGATCAAGGTACCTGGGGGCTGCTGCTGCTGTGGGGTAGCACTGGGGGCTTGGCCTGCCTCTGCTTGGAGGTGTTTGGCTTAACGCTCCCTTGGCCCGACCCCACACCCCTCCATCTGTGGCGCTGCACAGTCCTTAGCACTGCTGCCCTCCCAAGCCCTGGGGCTCCTGGGGACTGGTGTGGGGGCAGAGGAAGTGGGGACAAGACTTGGGATTTGTGTTCACTTGGTTGTCAAAGTAGGATCTGCTGCCAGCCAGGCAGCTAATGCTGTCTCTGGTTGGCTTGGGCTAATGGCAGCCATCCTTCCTGGGCCAGACCAGGCCAGATGAGAGCCTCTGTGTGGTCCACATTCTTGCTGCTGAAGTCCTAGGACTAGCTCTGCCCATCCCTTTGAGGAATTGCAATGAGGGTAGGAGGAAGTTAGTGAGAAGTCCGACTCCACTCCCACCCCAGCCTGCTGAATTCCACCCAGTTGCAGAAGGCACTGTTAGAAGAGGGACCCCCATCTGTCCTGACACCCCTGCCAGTGCCACATACACACTACATCTGGCCTTTAAGAAATCTAGAGTTTGCTTTGGGAACTCCTAGGATCCTGGCTCGCTAGCATTTGAGGAGGGGACAGCTCAAAAGGTTATAGATAAAGGCTTGGACCCAGTGGTGGCCACTGCGGGACAGACACCTGCTTGGGTCCTCTCCTGATTGTGTCCATCTAGCCACACTGCCTCCCTGAGCCTCTGTCTCCTCTTGTATGACTGGGGAGGGTGCTGCATGTTCTGAGCTGAACCTATGGGAATTAAAGAGGTTGCTGAGGAATGATGGGCCATCGTTGGGCAGCCATGAGTGGCAGATGCCAGAGTCCAGTCACTTCTGCCAAGACCTAGAGCCAGGTGGAGAATCTGGCCAGGCACATGTCCGGCCTTGGCCTCATGTCTCCCTCCCATTCTCTGCCTCATCTTTTCCACGTTTTCTGCCATCTCACTCACCCCCTACCCTCTGCCTGGCTCTGAAGCATGCCCGATATCAGGCCACTGCTTCTCCCCACTCACATTCCCTCCCTGACTCTGCTTGCTGTCAGGGCCTCAGTGTTACTCTCTGGCCCCTGTCAGCCAGCTGTGACCATCCCTCACCCTTCCTGTCATTCCTTGAAGCTGCACCCCTGGGTCACAAGGCATGGGGCGGAGCCGTTGCCATCGGAGGATGAGAACTGCACACTGGTGGAGGTGACCGAAGAGGAGGTCGAGAATTCGGTCAAACACATTCCCAGCCTGGCGACCGTGGTAAGGCAGGATGACCCACTGACTGAGACCAGGGACAGCACCTGAGGCAGGCTCAGCAAGGATGAGTCAGGACACGGGGGCATCTGAGAAGTAGACATTGGGCCCGAGAGTCGGGGGATGGCAGGTCTGCCCCTAACCCACAGGCACCAGCCCCTGACCATGGTTACACATCAAGCCAGGTGAGCCCTGCATCTTCTAGCTTTAATTATGTCTGCAGCCAGGCCCCGTGTTACTGGGGAGAGGGCTAGCTTCTCTAAGGATCCTCCTGTGCTTTCTATGATTTCCTGCTTTCAGAGCACATCAGAGGGAGCAGGAGAAGGACCAGGGTGGTGCTAGGTCGGGGTGGGTGCTAGAGCTGAGGTTGCTAAGATGGGGTTCCCATCCAGCTGGGTCTTCAGTCTCAGGAGTGGGTAGTCTGGCTCATCTCATGTCTGCCATGTGGACCGCTACCAGTTCTGGGGTGGGGGTCCCACTTCACATGCCTCAGAAAGTTCTTCCTGACTCCTGAAGGGGGGAGTTTGCTCAGGAGCTGCTGGGCCTCTTTTTGTGGCCTTACGTTTGGGTCCTGACCCCGGAAGAAGAAACCAGAATGAGGAGCCCTCAGGCCTAACCTTGGAGACTCTGGGAATCAGCCACATGCCAAGCCTCTGCCCAGGGTGGTGTCTGGCTCTAGGAGGGAGACCAGGACCCTCAGGGGCCCAGGCAGCAGTCTTAGGGACAGAATCCAGCTGGTCGCCCCACTGTGGCCACCTTGAAAGCCCTGGTAGGCATCAGGACAGCAGTGGCCCCAGCAGGCTGTGGGAGGGGGCTGGTGGGACGTCTGCAAAGGCACAGTGTCCGCCACTTTTGGAGCCCAAGTGCTGGCTCCTCCCCAGCATTGCTCCTCTCCCTGCTGCTCCTCTATCCTCCCAAAACCTGAGCCTGCAGATGGGGCATCCATTCACATCCCCCCACCCCAGGGGCTTCTGCATTACCTTCACTGTGAAAAACTCACACCCACTCTCTCTTTCTCATCCACCCACTGCATCTGTGTCCTGTGCCCACAGTGAGGGAGGCAGCCAGCTTCAGACCCAGCACCCACGGCAGGCTGTTCTCTACCAGGCTTGGGATAATCTTGGGAGAAAGCATCTCACCCTAGAGGTCTGAATGGTCATTGATTATTCAGGAAACACTTCCAAAATACCGAGTGGTTTCTCAGGCCTGTGCAGGGAGCAGGGATCCAGCACTGAGCAAATCAGACACAGCAGCTATGGGGCAAACAACAAATAACCCAGCAATGTAACAGGGGCAGCGAGGTGTACCCTTAAGGGGGAATGCGGCCAGGGGAAGGGTGGGAGAAGCTCCCTGGAAGTAGCAGATGTGCTCTGAAGGGATGGCAGGGTGTTAGCCCGGCTAAGAGGAAAGAGAGGGCGAAGGGTGTTTCTGGTAGAGGGACCAGAAGACGCAGGATCCTCTGGTTGGAGAGAGGGAGGCCTGAGAGAAGCTTCAAGAAAGCCAGGGCCATGAAGCAGAGCACAGAAGGTGGGGGGAGGGTGGTATGAGTCTGGGTGCCGGGGTGGGAGTGTGGGGCAGACCACATAAGTCCTGAGGCCATGGCAAAGATTTAAATCTTGGTCCCACGAGGTTTGGGAAGCACCTGCAGGATTTGAATCGGGAGAAGCATGGTGTTGGCCTTGGAAAGATCCCACGTGGGTAACGGACTGTGGGCTCCAGGGAGGCAGTGGGGGCTGCAGCAGCCGCCAGAGCTGGGGGGCTGGCGCAGGCACATCCAGGCCTCCTCCTGGCACACAGTGTGTGCCGGGCACTAGGCTACAGAGGTGAACACAGCACAGCTGCTCCTTCCACTGCGTCCTGAGGGCTGCAAGGGCTGGCTGGTTTGGCTAGGGAAGCAGCAGGGCAGGACAGTCTCACCAGGAGGAGGGACCTCTGCAAAGGCCCAGAGGAAAGGGGCTGGGGTGCTCCAGGAGCCACAGAGCACCCACCCTGGCAAGGGAGGCACCGTGAGTGCCTTGCCAAGGGGGTACAACCCCTTCATTCTCTTGAGTCAGTGTTTTCCTTTTTTTATTGGGATAGAATTCATGTTACATAAAATTAACTATTTTAAAGTGAGCAATACAGGAGCATCTATTCCATTTACAGTATTGTGCAATAAGCACTTCTGTGGTCTTGAAACATTTTGATCATCCTCAAAAGAAACCCCACACCCATCAGCAGCCACTCCGCACCCCCCTCTTCCCCCCGCCCCTGTCTGTGACAACCACCAATCTGTTTTCTGTCTCTGTAGATATACTTGCTCTGGACATTTCCTATATATGGACTCATACACTGTGTGGCCTTTTGTGTCTGTCTTCTTTCATTTAGCATCATGTTTTAGAGAGTCATCCACATTGTAGCATGTTGTTCCTTTTTATGGCTGACTCATATTCCATTGTATGGATAGACCACACTGTTTATCCATTCTTCAGCTGATGGAATTTGGATGTTTCTGCCTTTTAGTAATCAGTGTTTTTTCAAACACTTACTTTTCTTCTTAGCAGCAAACCCTTAAAAAAAATTCAGAAGCTAAGTCAATATATGAAACAGCTTGAAGAGGCACCAGGCTCTGTTTGAAGGGGGCTGGGGACCAGAGCCTCACAGAGTGTTGAGGCTACTTCCCTGAAAATTTCTGCACAGGATACAGCAGACCAAAGCATCACCAAAGGTGACTGGGTCACTTCCTTGCTGCAGAGCCTTCCATGGCTCCCTGGCAGGCAATGGGATAAGTTCCAAACTCCTGTGGGTGAGCCATTTAAAGTCAGGGAGTGAGGGAATCAGATCTAGGTTTTAGAGGCTGGAGGCAGATTGATGGGGGTGAGGTGGAAGACTGGGAGACAGAGGCAGGAGACTGAGCAGTGGCCAAGGGCGGTGATGAGGGATAGTTCCTTCTCCCAAAGGATCCGCTCCTCAGGCCAGTGTTTCCCAACCAAGCTTCAGACCTAGTCTGTGTTAAAGTGGGTGGTGGGGTGGGAATGTCAGGCACCAAAGAGTTCCTGTTCCCAGCAATGGATAAGCCAACCCTCAGTGCCTCTCAGACTCAGGACGTTCAGGATCTCTGAGCTCTCCACACCAGCCTATGGACTGGTCCTCCTCAGTGTCCAGGGATGTTTTCTCCTTAGACCTGGACAGGTGTTTCCCATCCTTGACTAAAATGCAGCCCCCTAAGAAATCAGTACCCATGTATGATGTTGGTGGGAGTGTCAAATGTTACAGCCACTGTAGAAAGCAGCCTGGCAGTTCTTTGAAATGTTGAACACAAAGTTATCATATGATCCAATAATTCCACTCCTGGGTGTACATCCAAGGGAAACGAAAACATTTTATGAGGAAAACATGTCCACACAAAAACTTGCACACAAATGTTCATGGCAGCATTATTTATAAGTGACAGAAAGTGGAAACAACCCAGATGTCCACCAGTGGATGAATGGATAACAAAATATGGCATATCCGTACAAAAGATTGGGTCATGAAAAGGAATGAAGTACTGATGCAACATGGATGAATTGTGAAAACATGATGCTGAGTGGAAGGAGCTAGCTGTAAAAATGTCACATACTATATGATTCCATTTATATGAAATGTCCAGAATAGACAACTCCACAGAGACAGAAAGCAGATTGGTGGTGGTCAGGGGCAAGGGGGACTTGGAAATGGGGAGTGACAGCTGATGGGTACGGGGTTTCTTTTTGGGATGATGCAAATGTTCTGAAATTAGATAGGAAATACAGTAACAACCATTGAATTGTACAGTTGAAAATGGTGAATTTTATGTTGTGTAAATTAGGTTTAAAAGCAATCTCAGCTCCCCCTTCCCCTGATTTATATCTGGGAAGCAACAGTTCTTTTCTTGTTGGGGTGGTCACAGATGGCTCTCTCCAAAAATAAAGGCTTGACCTTGAAGGTGAGAGAGGTTGATGGACCAGGCGGGGAATGTCCAGCGATGGCTCAGGTGAAACAGATGGTACCAAGTGTGCTGGAGGGATGGTGCAGGCCCGCTTTCCTGGAGCATATGGTCCTCTGTGGAAAGGGGGTGGCCAAGACTAGGTGATGATAGGCCTTGAACGTTAGACCAGGAGTTTGGATCTTATCCTTTTGGCCGCCAGGGAGCTGTGGAAGGTTTGGGAACAGATGGGTCGTACTTGGTGATGGCTTTGGCGGCTGTGTCCCAGGCAGGAGGGATGCTACTTAGTGTCTCTCACAGTCCTGCTGTCACCAGGAGCCCTGGGAGATGGCAGAAAGCTGAGAGTGAAGGAGGAGGGAGGTGGCACTTGTGGAGTGGCATGGGAGGATACTGCCTGCAGTCTCCCCCAGGTGGCTGAGACCCCTGCTCTCTTCTTCAGATCCTGGTGAAGACCATGATTCGGAAACGCTCCTTTGGGAACCCGTTTGAGGGCAGCCGACGGGATGAGCGCTCCTTGTCAGCGCCTGGAAGCCTGCTCACGTGAGTGTCCCCTGCCCACCTGGCTGAGTAGCTGGAGGCTGAATGCAGCACAGCCCTGCTCTGCCCACGCTGCGTGGGCCTGTCCTTGGAGCAGAGACTGTCCAGAAAGACTGAGGCCACACCCACCGGGCACACTAGGGAAATGGAGCAGTTTCTGGCCTTGGTTTCACCCTAGCCTGGGCTGAGCCTGCGTCCTTTTGCTGAAAACTAATTCACACTGGCAGTTTACCTCTCTCATGGGGACTTGCACGTTAACTGGGGGGGGGGGGCCTCTTGATAGCGTTTTTGTGGCCCAGAAGCATGGGTGCTTGATTGTGGGATTTTCAGTCCTGTGATGAGTAAGCAAGGCTAGTCTCACCCATGGGACCTTGCACATCACAGCAGAGACGTTCTACTCATAATCTTCCTGGCAACAGCTCTGTGAAGCTGGTGTCTGGAGTGTGAGTATCTCTGGGGTGGGGGACGGGCATCTCGTGGATCCCTTGTCCCTCGCTCACTTCCCTTTTCCCTCCCCTCTGGCCATTCCAGCAAAAAACCAACCAGGGAGTGTGAGCCCCTGTCTGGGCCCAAGGTAATGCCTGCCTGCCTGCCTGCCTGTGCTGTAGCCTCTGCAGGGGCCTGGGGGTGGGGGCAGCTGCAGAGCACGGGCATCCCCCAACCAGGCCGGAGGTTACTGCCAGCCCCGTTGCTGTGCCCAGGCCCACTTAGGCCTCTGGACCCAGGATAAAAACGTGGGGCATCCAGGGGCTAGGGCCCGCCGGCAGGTCATGCATGTGGGCTGGGGCTGCAGGTGCATGGTGCTCCACCCGGAATGCCTGTGAATTCACCCAGGTCTTACGACCCAGTCTGGCACCCACATATGCTCAGTGCACGCTGATGGCATTAAAGCTGTGTCACAGGACCCCAAGGCTGCCCCTGCTCTGGGCCTGTGTGGTCAGAGCATAGGTCAGGCATGTTGTGCTCTGGGGCTCCCCCGAGGGGCTCTTCAGCAACCGCCCTTTCTTTTCTGATGGGTTAAGACCTAGAAAGTCCGTGCCCTTCAGCCTGCTGCAAACGAGTTTGAGTTCTCTGCCCCTAGGGCAGACCCGAACATTTTCCCATAGGCCATGCCTCCTCCAAACACACATCCAGGTCGGTGTTACCAGCACCTCTCCAGACAGATGAGGATTTTTGTCATTGAAGGACTGAGATGACAAATACTTGGCATCCCTGTTGCCACTCGTACCCCCAGTGCCTGTGGCAGGGTAGACATCCCAGTGCTTGGCTAGAGCTTGACTCACCACCTCACCTCAGCTGGGAGCTATAGACAGCCATTTCTGTACTTTAAGAGCAGCTTTGTTAATTCACATATTATACATTTCAGCCTTTGGAGTATATGATTGAGTGATTTTTGGTATACTCACAGAGTTGTGCAACCATCACCACAGGCAATTTTAGAGCATTTTCATCTGTCCAGGAAGAAGCCTTGAATGCTCAGCTATCACTCCCAACTCCCCCATTCCCAGTAACGACCGATCTAGTTTCTGTCTCTGTTGGTTTGCCCATTCTGAACATTCCATATAAATGCAAATCACATATGGCCTTTTGCGACTTCTCTCACTCAGCATCATGTCTTCAAGGTTCAACCATGTATAGCATGTGTCAGAGCTTCATTCCTTTTTGTGGCTGAACTATATTCCGTTGTATGGATAGACCACGTTTTATCATCCATTCATCAGGTGATGATGGACATTATTTCCATGTTTTGGCTGTCACAAATAATTAATGCTGCTGTGAACAGTTCCTGTACAAGGGGCAGCCATTTCCATTTCTTAGGAGTTGGTTTATGAGATGAAATTTATGGGCCACCCATTCCACAGGAGTTAGGGGCTTACAAGGTAATGTAGAAGGAACACTTGTTTGGGGATTACTCTTTTCTGGCGCAGGCACAGCAGCAATTAGCAATCAGAGCCAGTGGTGGACTGCCTGAGAAGGTTGCCTTACCCTGTCAGGTTCTGTGTTGATTCTCTGCAGCCCTGCCGGCCTATAGTTTGAGCCTCACAGGGTGATGGGGAGTGGAAGCCTAATGCGCCGGCCCTGGCCTTTCTCTTCTCAACATCAGGTTTTAGGGTTTGCCTCTCATCTGTGTGCAAGTATGTAATTTGTTTCTTATTTTCAGTAAGATCAAAATCGCCCAACATGAGATTGGCCTGAAGGGCTTTCCTTGCCCCTCTTTTCCCTCACCTACAGTCCCAGCAGCACCTGGGGACTGCTCTCACTGTGGGTTCCAAATGGTCAGCACTCTGCAACCTGTAGGGCTTATTCAGTCACTGGAGGCCTTGGGCCAGAGGTGGGCAAGAGGTCTGCCAGCTGTCTGCAGCTGGAGCCAACAGGTATGAGCCAGAAGCTAGGCCAGAAATTGAGGGCCTGATTTGACACCTCATTACAGCTCTCCTTCCCAGGACATTTGACCTCTATTCTTTGGTAGAAACATAAAAAGCCAATGAGTGTGATTTTTAAACAAAGAGTTTCTTCCTAGGAATATACAGATATCCCGCTTTCCCATCCTGTACAGGGCAGAGCTTCTGGCCGGGGCACGTGGATATTAGTCCTGTGTGGCAAGCCCAACTGCTTCCCATAGAAGGGGTGATCTTGGTTTGGTAGTGGCCGGGGACCTCCACCTCTTGGACCTCTTCTCAGGGACTTACCCTTACATCTCTGTCACTTGCCCGCGTCTCGTCCTAGGCAGCTCTACCTGGTGGGGGCTTCTGGAATGGCCTCTGGGGGCACAAGGACACTTTTCCTTCCATCGACTTGGTCTCTTCTGCTTTGATCACTCACGTCGCCAAGTGGAGGGCTCTTCTCTCTTGTCTGAGGTGTCCCTTGTGCCTGTCTGCTGGGGCATTTCTGTTGACAACCATTTCGGAAAGCTGGCCACATGTGGGTCCTGCTCACTGCCCCAAGAAGCTCACCTTCTGGTGACTGAAAACTCTTCAGTCTTAGCCTAAAGGGTGGTGGGGAGTAGAAACACGTAAAGAACCTCAGTGAACAGGCCCCAAAGCCGGCTGCATGCTACTTATGTGGGATGATTTTACCCAGATAAGTTTGCATCTATTTTTATAGTTCCTTTCTATTTTTGGCAAATGATACTGGTTTTCCATTTACAGAAGGGACACAAAGTCTCCTTTAAAACTTTTATGGAAGCAGGAAAAACAGGGGAGAGCATCTGAAGAGGAAAGTCAAGCATAAAACATCCCAGGTGGTGCGGGAATGTGGGAGACACAGGTTCAGGGCTGTGCCAGCCTTGCCCCGGCTCTTAACATGGTTTTCTGTTCGGTGAGCAGGAAGCAAGGCAGCGAAGACAGCCGCCTGGGCCCCAACCCGGCCCCCGTGGGGGAGGAGGAAGTGCGCTTGTGAAAGGCGGTCCCCGCGTGGAGAGCTGGGGGGCCCCGGGCGCCGGCCCGCGCGCACGCATGCATCCTCTGCAGCCCGACCAGGCGATGGAGTAGCTGCCGGGATCGTGCAGCCTCGCGTGCAGGCGGCACACCTTCCCGGGCTGCCCCCGTGTTGCCATAGCAGCATGTCCTCGGAAATTCAGCAAGTGTGTAGAGCCTTGACAGTCATCTCTGGTTTGTTTTTTTCCTTTGTTGTTTTAAAGGGGACAAAAAAAAAAAGACTTGACTCCATGACATCGACCTTGGCCGCTGGCTGGCTGAACGGGCAGGTGTGAGGAGTTGCAGACCCAAAGCCACGTGCGTTTTGGGACAATTGCTTTTTAAAACGTTTTTATGCCAAAAATCCTTCATTGTGAACTCGGAACCACATCAGATACACCAAGTGAATGTGTGTGGGGGTTTGAAAATCATGAAAAACTGGTAGAAAACTCTGGCAGCAGGGGTCTGAGACCGCAGAGTTAGTCCTTGCATTTGAAAGGGAGAGGAAGAGTGGGGGTGACCCCCTGCCAGCCCTGAACCCAAACCCCAAACCGTGGCACCTTCCAGGGCTGAGAGACTCCAGGGCTCAGGGCAGGGCAGGGCTCGCCCTCAGTAGCAGCAGGGAGCTTTAATGCAACTTATTTGTAAGAAGGACTTTTACATTTTTTTATGGATAGAGTTTTAGTCAGGACAACGGAAAGGGCTTGAAGTTTAATTGCTTCTCAAAGGAGATTTTCCAACCCTAGAAGGGCATTTGGTGGTTATGGGAGACCTTTCACCTAAAGGACTGAAGGCATTTCTTTATGACAGCCACTCAAAAGCAGGTTTCTGAATTAGTTGACTGGAGCTCTAGTAAATCGCAAAAACTTCAGGGTGAAATCCTACACTTCCATGTACATTACATGGCTTAAGAGTAAACAACAACAAAAAATATTTTCAATTCTCAAAGTAGACTGAACTCTAGGGTAGTTCAGAAATCCTTTAGAGCTTCCAGGATATATTCCATGGCATCAGGCATGTGATCAAAGTTAGAGCCAATAAAATCTATGCCTGTATATTAGCAGCTTAGTTTGCTTATAACGTACGTATTTTAGAGACTGCTAAGGTTCGGTTTTTTTTTTCTTCTTAAACACTAGCTGATTGTTGTAGTCAGTGAAGCACTTACTCAGTTTCTGGAGGGCCAGTTAGGAAGTACTTTCATTCAGCTGAAACACAAAATCATCCTTATTGGCAAAGCTCTGTGAGGATCTACACAGTAAATTTGGGGGTGCCTTTTTAGAGAAGACTGTGAAACCCAGAGCACTCCTCAGGGGCCAGTCCCCCAGAAGGAAAAGGTTTACCTTTTTTGACTTCCAAATAATATTGGGAAGTTTGGTTGCAACTCAAGTGTGACTTCTTCCAGAGTCACATGTGGGTAAGTTAAAGTTCAAGGGGTAGAAAACTAGAAGACTTCACCCAGGAGTCCTCTGTGGACTTTGTTGGTTACTGGGCTCAGAAGGACGTTTTCCTGTAGTTTTTATCTGATCAGCATTGTCATGAGGACTCTGTGCAGAGTGATGGAGAAGCAAGGCCTTGTGCCTCCTGCCCAGTACATTCAGAGCCTGGGCATTCCTGGCTTCTGTAGGCTTCGTAAGCTCTTGACCGTTGTTTAGTCAGACTTTTCTTGCTAACTTACAAACAGTACAGTATTAGGAAATGCTGGTTTTCAGGAGCAAAAGACACCATCTGATGGAGTGTCTGTCATCTCACCTCCTTGCTTTCTTTTTGTAACCTAGTACTTCCTCTTGCCCTCCTGTGCTTGTTTACATGTATGGGCTCCACCCCTTCTGGGAGCAGATGGGGTCTGGTTAGTTTGCAGTAAGCACCTTGTAGTGGTTAAAGTCAACAGGTCCTTAGTCTTAGTCCCAGCCCGTGTGTATGGACTCTGGCCTGGCCAAGTGGCTTGCCCAGAGTGGCCGGGCAGCATGCAGGGCTTCTGCAGACCTCCTCCTGTGTTTACACAGCTGCATCGGGCAACACCATTTCTCCCATCACAAAGCTCGTGTATAAAATTTCCTGTGTGGCATGCCAGCAAGCAGGCAGCACCCAGCTGTTTAGGCGGGTCGGTTGGGGGAGGCCCAAGTTCATAACTTCTTTTTCTTTAAACAAAGGAACACCAAAGAAAGCTGTAGAACGAATTACCACCCCTGAAAAGTATAATCAGAGAGCTGTTATATAAAGTGTTTAGAGCTACCCCTTTCTTGGAGCACAGTTAATTTTCAAAAGCCAGCTCTATCAGGAAAGGGGAGGAGCTGTTATGAGCAGCTTTTCTAGGTGAGTGAAAGGCTGCCCATCAGTTTCTTCCGTTGCTGGCTCATCTGAGGAACCAATTTGGTAAAAGCAACAAGTAGCTTGTATCTGTGGCCTAGATGGAAGCACAAGTTCTCTGCTCACCTTCTTTTGCCCTGTACCACTTACCCCATCTAGTCGTAGGCTTACCAGTGGCTCCTGTAAAGCCTTATCTAGCTCCTTGTTGGCACTGGGGCTGGAGAGTCTGTCTTCCCTGCTGGTCTTGCCCTTCCTGTGAGTTCAGGCTCCCATCTGCAAAGTCTTTATGGAATAAGGAGGCTTACACCTGTGCATTTAAACACAGAGGCTCAGCCTGTTGCTCCTACCCATCTTTCAAAGTGGAGCTTCATGTTGGGTGTGGGGGAAAGAGCCGTGACTTCCACTTGCTTCCAAGGTGCTAGGGAAGGTTTCAAGGTCATCGGTTCCCTTCTTCTCTCTAGCTTTACCAGCTGAGTTTCATGAGACTGCTGACTTTTCTATTCTGTGATTGATTTAATGCCCGATGCTTCTGTTTTATTCCTGATCCTTTCTACTATGCATTTTCCTTTTATCAGGTGTACAAAGTTAAATACTGTGTATTTATCACTTAAATGTACATGAACTTAAGAGAAACATAAGCCTTTGGTGTTTTTCCACAGATTAAGCTTCTCTGTAAACTTGAAATAAACAGACAGCAAAATGGTGCAAAGCCTGCTCCTCTTTGGGATGTTTTTGTTGGTTGGTTATTTAAGTTAGCACTGTCTAGGTATCTGTCCTTATGTCTGTTTTCTTTCGTTAGGCTGACAGCAAGATCAGATGCCCAAGTCAGGGCTAATGTATTCAGCATTACACTTTTCATCTCTAATTTTAAGCATGTCCTAGAAACTCACTACTCAAAGTGTGGTCTCCAAACCAGCATCATCAATGCTACCTACCTGGAGGTGGGTTAGAAATGCAGATTCCCAGGCCTTGTGTAAACAAACTCCCCAGCTGACCCACCTTCGTTCTGGGTTGAGCTCTGCTCTGGCAGGAAGCAACTGCTAGATTCTCCTGGTGGAGACCAAATGGGTGACTGGCTTCGGGAGCATTGTAACCACGCATTGACCATGTTCTGTGGGCAGGCATGCTATATGACACTTCACCCCACAAGGTAGGTATTAACCCCGTTTATGGAGCAGCACCTGTAAACTGAGGCTCAGGAAAGTTAAGTCACTTGTCCAAGGGCTCTGAATTTGTCAGCAAATTGTGTTCTACACAGCCTTGGTGGTTGTGGTTTTCATGTGTGTGTGCAGACTGTGTTAGAACTGATGCTTTCTCCAGACTAAGGGCTGAGGGTTCCCTGCATTCCAAATGTGAGTCTAGCCCATGGCATTGCTCTACTGGCTTTTAACAGCAGTTTTCTGTTATCAAGGGACAGCAGATGAAGTCAGAGAGATTCCTGTTCCATCACTGCAGAAACATGACTTTGAAATACTGGCCTTTAAGAGTCAAAAGCAGGTGTTCCTATTCAGACTTCATGGAGAATCTGATGAAAGTTGAAAGAAATGTCCATGGGTGCATCACTTTCAGAATTTTAGGGGTTTCAGAGACTCCTGGGAGGCCAACCATGGATGCAAGATCAAAGGAGCCCCATTTGAAGCAGCACCAAGGAGTGCTGGGCCTGTGGAGGTGTAGCTGAATAACAATGCCACTCCCATGCCTCACCCCAGCTGGCCCCAGAATTCCATTAGAAAAAGAGAGGCCAAAAGAAGTCCCTTATTCCACCCATCATCCCTCTTTAGCCTGAAGATAATAAACCATTGAAAAAAACCCCAGCTCCATCTGACCCACAGGTTCAGGCATTTTTCAAAAAGGCAATGTGAATCAGAGCTTTTTCACAGGGGTTCAGTAAATTATTTTCCCCTCAAAAGCAAGGAAAGCCCAGGTTGGTCATTCATCCAGCAGAAGCAGTGCACTTCTGAAATAGATGTTCTCTTCACTATTTGGAAATGAAGTCATGATAAGGGGGAGGGATGAGCTGCTTTCTTCAGGGAGACCCTGAACACTTGATGCAGAATTAAGTTGGTGTGAAGGGGAAGCTAGAAATAGCTCCATTAACATTTCAAATCAGTGGCAAGGTGGGTGTAGGTGGTGCTGCATTTGGTAGGAGACTTCTGGAAAGCAAGGGGAGTGAGGAGGATGAGCCATTTTCGTGTGGCCTAAAATTGTGTGTCCTATGGTATAGTACCACAATTTTATGTAAAAACGTACACAGGTAAGACAAGTCGCCACTACAAAAAAAACATCTTGTAAACTCTATAGGAACACAACCTAATGGAGATCAAAATTCTTAGGCCTTTAAGAGAAGGTTAAAGTAGGGGAAAAAATGCCCAAGCTCCAGCAACAGACTGCTTCAGGAACCTTTTCTCAGCACAGTGACTGGGACAACAAATGGATTTACTGGTGAAGTAAAAAGGAAGGGAGGAAAGTTGTAGCTCATGCTAAGAAACCACAGAAAGATTATGAAAATAATTTGCTTTAATGTTTGGTCCTCAAACATCTTGGTACCTCTTCTCAAAGCAGAAACACTGAATCTGCCTTGTGATTACACGGAAGAAGTCTCTGGTCATGGGAAGAGGAACAGCAGCCCAGGCCTGCTACAGGTCTAACAACCACACCCCGGCGTCCTTCTTTTCCTTATAAAGTGCTTGAACAGAGCTGCCAGGCCTAAGAGGACTGGACTGTCTCAGAGGGGGCTGGAGATGGGAGCTTCTGAGGACAGCTGGCCCTGAGAAAGGCCCCAGATCGCTGCCCCTGGGCCAACAATCCCCATCTGAAGGAACAGCAGAGGCGACCCAGCCAAGAACAGAGGGTAACCCACTGTGTAGAGTGCTATACTATGGAAACCCTACACAAAAAACACGGGAGCAGCTGAGAAACCCTGAAATTCTTGTGGATTGGAGACAGACTCAGCCTGGAACTTTCCTTCCTCCTTGCTGTGCTCTGATGAGAGCTGTGGGGTGGGAATCACTGGTCTATCTCACCACCAAGGCCCTGCAAAGAATGATTTGCTCATGGTTAATTGACATGCTTACAGATAAATGTATACCCACCATGTGCTGCCCACAGGCAAATCGGGGCAAATAGCCACTGGACCACTTGGGGCAGGCAAGAGGCAGGCTTTCCCTGAGGACTTTTGGGCAGCCCTTCACACCAAGTATACTTGAGTTGGTCCTAGTGCAGGGGTCTCAAAGCATGGTACCCAACCCTTCTTGCTGTGCAAGGTGAATTTTAGTAGTGTATGGACATAGCTTTTGTCCTAGTAACCATTATCATAACTAAAGAGTAAGACCTTCTGAAAGAAAGCATGAGGTAAATACTAGTACAGGTGGTCTAGGGACAGATGATGAGAGTGGCCTGTGACTACGTGGTTTGTGACACCAAATAGCACCAACTTTGTACTGGGGCTTCCCCTGGACAAGCCCAGCACTCTGGGTTTTTACTGCAACAAGAGGCAGGTGAGGTAAGGTGCTTGGACTCCCCTATCTGCTAGAGTTCAGCAGAGGCCTACCTGCTCATAATCTTCCACGTATTTGTATTTCTTCTCCCGATAGTAGTATCTTTTCTTCATGCAATAGAGGACGATGACATCGCATAGCACTGTCGCCTGCGTGTGGCACGGGGTGAGAAAGAATGAGCCAGGTGTGTTAGCCCGTTGTGCTGTGCGTGTCCCTTCCCTCGAAGCCTGAAACCTTTCAAACAGGAAAGGCTCCTCATCTCTTGGGAGGAGCACAGTCTTGGAGAAGGGAGGGTAGAGGTGGGGGCAAGAGGAACAAGCCCAGAGAACCAAGTCTAGAGGCAAGTCTGGTGTCAAGGGGAAGAACCAGGGTACCAGCTGTGCTGACTACTGCTAAGGAGGCCCAGTCCCAGGGGTGAACAGAGAGGCCAAACTCACCACCCCAAAAAGCGCCAAGCCAGAGCCAATGTTGATCATGGTAGGGATGATGTCAAATTTCCCAGCCTGCAAATGATAGGAGAAAAGGAAAACAAGTTGCTACAGGGTGACAGGAGCAGATGGAGGGTAGGGAGAGGCCTCTGTCCCTGGCCAACCTAGGAAAAGACTAGTGGGGTCTGAATGAGGGCCCAGAGAGGAGCTGGTGGCCAGGTCAGGTACCTTTCCAAACACAATGATGTCGAAACGGATGCCATAGGCCTTGATGAGTGTGCGACGCTCAGGGCCTGTCAGGTCACTGTAGTACTTGGCAAACCTGGGGAAGGCAGAGGACAGCGTGAGACAGGCAGCCGCACTTTCCCTCCCAGTCCTGAGCTAGGGGTGCTAAAGTAGGATTCCCCAGGCCCTCGTGGAGCTGGCGCTGGCTGAGGATTTACTCTAGCTGCTGGAGATGACACAAGAGTTCCTGAGGGCCTCTCCTGGCTAAACATGTGCCATGCAGCAGGAGGGCACTGAGGCCCGTGGGGCATATGGAGCACTGCCTGCCACCCCCAGCACCACCACTGCCCTATGGCTAAGCTGGAACCTAGTGCTCTGAACGTCCTTCCTGATATAGTTGAGCCACCTGACTTACTCCAGGAGACCTTGGCCACTAACAGAGTGTGGCCAGCCACAAGCAATCTCTTAAGACGGCTCTGTTGTTTTGTGGGTGGGGGACCCTGAATTGGCCACAAAACTCAGCATCAGCCCTGGACACTTTTTTTTTTTTAAGAACCACTGACCCATTAATGGATAAATGGATAAATAAAATGTCTAGCCACACAATATATTATTTGTTCATAAAAAAGAGATGAAGTACTGATAGATGCTATAAAACGGATGAACCATGAAAAACAAACATGCTGCTAAGTGAAAGATGCCAGTCACAGAGGCCACATGTTGTATGGTCCCATTTATATGGAAGTCCAGAAGAGGCAAATCCAGAGAGACAGGAAGTAGCCCAGTGACAGCCGGGCGCTGAGGTGGCTGGGGGACAGAGGTGATGGCTGAAGGGTACAGGGTGACACCTCATGTCATTTGCTCCCCTGGGTTATACAAGAGGCCCACCAGCAGACTACGCCCTCAGCCTGGGATCTGTGGCTCACAGCTGCTGTGTGGTAGGCCTGGTCTGGGGAACTCAGGTGGGGCTGATGCTGGTGGAGCTCAGGGGGATGGGTGTCCTCATGAGGGTCCCATCAGCTTCTCTCTGTTCTGGGGTTCTGACCCAAGCATGAGGTTTTCCAGTGCTTTCTACAAGAATTGTGTGACAACAGATAAAGAGCAGTACAAATCTAACTCCCTTACCAGGAAAATCAAATATCTGCCCTATTATCTGTGTACCATATGGTTCAAAAGGACAGCAGATCCTGCAATTAGACATTCCTTGATCCTTTGTTTGATTCCACATATCACCACTAGAGGGAGACAAGTGCGACACAAAAGCACTACTGACCTGCTCATGGGGCCCCACTGGGCCTAGTTTTAAGAGGGACAAAATGGATAAAAGATGTAACAAAGATGTACGTGGCTGTGGATTTGGCTTCCTTGAAGTGGCATACATGACCCTGGTGCTTCCCATCAGATTACAGGCTGTCCTGGGTTGAACACTGTCCCCCAAATTCGAATGTCCAAGCTGAACCTGTGAATGTGACTTTCCTTGCAAAGAGGGTCTTTGCAGGTGTGATTAGTTAAGATGAGGTCATGCTGGAGAGGGTGGACCCTGAATCCAGTAAGAAAAGAAGAGACACAAGATGCACACAGAGGGAAGAAGGCCATGTGACAACACAGGCAGAAGCAGGAGTGATGTATTTACAAGCCAAGGAACACCAAGCATGGCCAGGAGCCACCAGAACCTGGAAGAGGCAGGGAAAGAGCCTGGACTCTGGACTTGCTGACACCTTGATTTTGGGCTTCTGGCTTCTAGAACTTAGAGAATAAATTCCTGTTGTTTCGAGCCCCCCAGATAGTGGTGATTTGTCATAGCCCCCCAGGGAGTTAACATACAGTATGTTCAGCAGGGAAGTACCAGCGAGGGCCTTTCCTGACCCCAAACCTGATCACCTGTACCCTGGAGATTCTGGGGACAGACTCAGTCTTTGAGAACAAAATTCCTGGGTCAGGCTCCGAAGGCCCATAAGCTTATCTGCTCTGTAAATTCATGAGCAGAGGTCCTGGCTGAGGCTGCCCTAAGGAAGCTAAAGCAGCCAGCCCCTTTGGCTGCTCCGCAAAGAAACTGTTTTGACGTGTTTCTTGAGGCAAGAATAGGCAAGGAGCACTCTCATGGGCCAGAATGCTACAGGCATGAGGCCCTGCCTGGAACCCTCTCCCACCTGCCCCTAGGGGGCTGCCTGAGTGCTGGGCTTTGGTTGGCCTGGATGTCCCCCCTGGGGAGGGATCCAGCCACTGTCACCCTCTAACACATGTGAAATGGGTCCAGGCTTGTGCCATTTTCAATACCTGAAATTGTAGCCTGGGGACACATTATGGTCTGTGTCTCGGGTGTCCAGGCGGCGGAAGGAATATTTGGGCAGGCAGTGGGTGGCGGCCCTGTCCAGGTTGCAGTCCCAGTTGATCTGGATGCCCATGATGCCTCCCTGGAGGTTGAGAGCAGAGAGAGCAAGCTTTCCTCAAAGCCCATTCTAGAACAAGATGTGTCAAAGATTGTTAGAAGAGCCAGTACACAGGCCTACCTCAACTGCCATGTCCTGGAAGCTGTGCCCTGCATTTTCCACAATTTTGCCAAGACGGAATATGGGGCAGAAGGGATCTGTTATAGCGTCATAAACACAAGATTTGAGGTAGGTGGTGGTGATGTTGGGAAGGATATTCCTCCTAAAGTTGGAAGGAAGCAGAAAAAAGAAGCAAGGAAAACCTCAAAGAAGAGTCAGAAGTTTCTCCCAAGACACTGGTGAACTCAGAGCTGGCCACCACTTACTTGCTGAAATTAAATTTGGGGTACCAGATGTTGTTCTTAACCAAAAGAGTGAAGTTTTCTGCAGCCTTTAAAAAAGCAGGTCTGAAAAAAATTATAACATACTGTTAATAAAAGTACAAATCTATGTACACTTATATACGTAAATTTTTAAAAAGCATATGTATACACGTCTTAAAATGTCATTTTGTCAAGAACAAAGTGAAACATCTCCAGCATTTTGTACTCTCCTCTGCAAAAATACTAGGTTGAGAAACGAGTCTGTAAACCAGGGCTTCTGGTTTCTTCTTCTCATGGCCTCTTGCCCAAGGCAGCGGGAATTTATGAGCCTGAGGAATACCTAAGGAAAAGATGTGCCTAGAGGCTCACTGGAAATCATTCCCACCTTGCCTCTCTCAGGTGTTCTCAAAGGAACGCCCAATGGATCTGGTTTTACAAGTCAAAGCAAAGATAGTTTCACCAACAGGTGGATCCTGACCTCTTCTCGAAAGTTCCCCCAAAGTGTGTGTCTTCCTCTTAAGTGCCCAGGAGTTCCTAGCTGACAATATGAGTTGAATCTGCCCCCCAGAGGACTCCACCTGTTGGTCGACTTCTAAAGGAGAATCCAGCACTGTAGGCCCACCTCTTGGTATAGGAGGCCTCCCCTGATCCAGGTGGAAGCTTTGCAGTTATAAACAACATCAGTGGTCTTCCCAACTCAGACACAGGAGCAAGGTCAATGGCTAGCCCACACAATGAGGAGCGCTTAGCCTGTCATCACTGCTGACACATAAAGCCCACTTCTCAGGGCTTCAAATTTCCTCATCCCTGTACCAGGAGGGATGGATTAGATCAGAGTTTTTCCAACTTCTGTCATTCTCTGAACCATAACCTTTCCCCCACAACTGTGGACCTCATATACAATACTTGGCTTGAAGATTAACTCACCTTTTAAAAAAAATCTGAGGTGAAATTCACATAAAATTAACCATCTTAAGGTGTACAGTTCAATGGCATTAAGCACGTTCACGTGTCATACAACCATCACCACTATCTAGTTCAAACATTTTCACCTTGAAGGGAAACTCAATACCCATTAAGCAGTTACTATCTATTCTTCTTTCCCCCGGCCCTTGGGAACCACCAATCTACTTCTTGTCTTCCTGGGATTTGTTGACCTGGACATTTCAGATGAATGGAGTCATCATACACTATGTGACACTTTGTGTCTGGCTTCTTTCACTCGGCATCATGTTTGCCCGGTCCATCCATGGCATAGCCTGTGTCAGGACCTGATTCCTTTTTATGGCTGACTTATATTCCATTGTCTGAAGGCACCATGATCTATTTATCTCTTTATCTGTTAATGGACATTTGGCTTTTTTTCCTTTAGGATCAACTCACTTTTTTGACATTCATTTTGAAATGAAACTTTCCATCATGGCCGTACAAAATGTCATTCGCTATAAGTCAGAGGTCTTTGTTCAAATAAATATAACAAAATCAAAACAATGTTACCAGAAGTTGTAGTTAACATTGTCTGCCCAAGGTGTTGAAGCTGGGGCTTGTTCTTTGTAAAAAATGGAAACCAGTAAATGACAGAAAGGTATTAAAGGCACCCAAGACCAGGATGTCCTCCTTGAAAGAAGATAAGGGGTTGAATGAGAACGTTAGTGGGAATGTGCCTCAATGTTCCTTCATGCATCAGTGTACACTTAAAAGTCACACCCTGGGTCAGACCAGTAACAGCACTGTCCAGTGAAAATATACTGAGACACAGACACATGCCACATTGTAATTCAGTCTCCTAGTAGCCACATTAAAAAGTGAAAAGTGGAATTAACTTTTCAATAACCCAATATATCTGAAATATTACTTCAACATGTAAACAATATACAATATTAATGAGATATTACATATTCTTCTTTTTTTAAAAAATAAATGTGTTTGGAATCTGGAGTACCTTTTGCCTGACACACATCTCATTTTGGGCCCAGCCACATTCCCAGTGCTCAGTGGCAACACGTGGCCAGTGTCTCCTACACTGGACAGCACAGATCATTAAGATCCTTTCCAGCTCTGAAATGCTAGGATTCCTTTTCTCTTAGTATTTTCCCTTGCCTGAGCTGCCGCTCTCGGCAATCTCAAAATCAGCAGTTCTGAACGTTCTTTTTTTCTGTTGCAACAAACCTGATTCACATGGCTACCTGCTCTCCAGGGCTTATCTGGGCCTCAGTCTGAACTTTGGGTAAGAAGGCCGGGATTGTATGCAATTCTGAGAGCATTGTCTCTAACTCCACTAGCTCAAAGCAGAGTAAATTATGATCGTGAAGAATGTTATTCTTGGGCAACCTCAAACTTGCTCTAGTTTATAAAACATGCTTCAGTGGACATTATTTTCCTGCCCAGCGTCTGTTTCCCTTTTTTTTCCTGGTAGTACAGTCCCCAATTTCTCTGGAAGCCACACCTCCCCAGCTCTCAGCCTGTGTCATTTGGTTGGGGCTGACTGCACCGGGCTCCATAGGTGGGCAGATGGCCCAGGCCAGAGCCAATAAGTAAAATCCATCCCTCAGCTGCGGCAATGGCTTGAGGGCTGTGGTTGAACATGTGATGATGGACAGGTCTAGAATCTATGGACAACTGGTAGGGCGATTTGGCCTTGTGGGGACATAAGCCCAGAGCTGCCTCCTGGGAAAATGACACCAACATGGAGAGAAGCAGAGTCAAGAAGTGGAGACTCTGAAGCTGTCCTTTGAGTCCCAGATCTAACCACACTGGGCTCCTGTGGTGAGCTGAGCAATAATCTGCCCCCCGTGTTTGTATTTGCATGTGTGAACTCTGAAGCACTGAGAATGGTTTCCTGTTGGTCACTTGCAACTGACAGAGTCTAATAAGGATGAAGTCATTTGTCCCCTTGCTATGAGTGACAAACTGCAGCCCACTTTGCCACTGATGGTTGCTGTCTTGTGGTTGAGAACCCCTAGGGAAGACCTACTACATACACATGGCCACCAAGAGGACAATGTCACCACACATAACGCACACTACTGCCTTAAACTCCCCGAGAACCATAGTTAGGGCACTTCCTTCCCTCGGCAGGACTTACTTTGGCACGTGTGTGTCATCCTCTACCGGGCACCAGGCTGCAACCTCACATGTCTTCACAGTCTCATTGAACAGCACACATCTTCCTGTTGCGACTCCTACAGGGTTGAGGAAGATCCAGGTCCACAGGGGTCTCCTATTTTCTACCTTTGTGAGGTTGAAAATGGAAGCTCCTCATAGCATCCTATGCAACCAATCTTGAGCTATTCCAATTCTGGGATGTTTCCAGTAATTGGAGGTCTGAGTCCTAGCCACCACTCTGCCAGGCTTGGGCAGGGCTACGGTGATGCCCAGCCACGGCACAAGGCAAGATCTGGGATGGCTTCTGGGATACGGTAACAGAGGTGACTGTCAAGAGGATCCTGGAATCCCAGTCTGGACATGAAGCTCACCCAGGGTCTTCTGAAAGAACTGGGGAATCCTTTGAGTCCCAGATCTAACCACACTGGGCTCCTGTGGTGAGCTGAGCAATAATCTGCCCCCCGTGTTTGTATTTGCATGTGTGAACTCTGAAGCACTGAGAATGGTTTCCTGTTGGTCACTTGCAACTGACAGAGTCTAATAAGGATGAAGTCATTTGTCCCCTTGCTATGAGTGACAAACTGCAGCCCACTTTGCCACTGATGGTTGCTGTCTTGTGGTTGAGAACCCCTAGGGAAGACCTACTACATACACATGGCCACCAAGAGGACAATGTCACCACACATAACGCACACTACTGCCTTAAACTCCCCGAGAACCATAGTTAGGGCACTTCCTTCCCTCGGCAGGACTTACTTTGGCACGTGTGTGTCATCCTCTACCGGGCACCAGGCTGCAACCTCACATGTCTTCACAGTCTCATTGAACAGCACACATCTTCCTGTTGCGACTCCTACAGGGTTGAGGAAGATCCAGGTCCACAGGGGTCTCCTATTTTCTACCTTTGTGAGGTTGAAAATGGAAGCTCCTCATAGCATCCTATGCAACCAATCTTGAGCTATTCCAATTCTGGGATGTTTCCAGTAATTGGAGGTCTGAGTCCTAGCCACCACTCTGCCAGGCTTGGGCAGGGCTACGGTGATGCCCAGCCACGGCACAAGGCAAGATCTGGGATGGCTTCTGGGATACGGTAACAGAGGTGACTGTCAAGAGGATCCTGGAATCCCAGTCTGGACATGAAGCTCACCCAGGGTCTTCTGAAAGAACTGGGGAATGTGGGGCTTTCTTTATCCCAGAGATTTCTCTGAGAGAAGCCCCATAGGGAAGCAATCTGGTTGGGCGCTACCCTCCCCAGGCTGTGTCTACTGTGGGGTCACGGCCACATGTCGTACCACTGCTGTGGGTGCCTGAAGAGCCAGAAGCACAATCTGCATCTGATTTACACACAGTGTTCTTATCTGGAACCTGGAAAAAGAGAATGCTGAGTGAAAACAAGTTCTGCATGGCCCAGCCAAAGCACAGCAGGACAGGCAGATGGCCCAGGGGAGAGTGAGGCCCGTGGCTCTTCCCTAGGAAGCAACCTACCTCAGGACAGAAGCCCTGGGTCTGGTTCATGGTGGTAATTATGTTGGTCATGATGAAGAGGGAGTTTTCTTCCTGCAGAGCGGGCAGAGGGGAGGGAATGCCACGTTACCTTCAGAGGAGTGAAGCAGAGCCCCAAAGAAAGCCACCTGTTCACTATAGGACAGTCCCTTTCACTTCTCCCACATGCCATGCAGAAAACAAAAACTGATGTTTAGGTCTCTTGTTCTCTCCTATGAAAGTTCGTAACCCAACTGAAAACAGGGACACAAATACTTGTACAGCAATCTCTCCTTTATCCATGGAGGAACATTCCAGACCCCCCATGGATGTCTGAAACCACAGGTAAGCTGAACCCTATACATACCATGTTTTTTCCATACTTATGGTAAAGTGTAATTTATAAATTAGGCACAGCGAGAGACTGACAACAATAATAAAATAGAAAAATTACAATAATATACTGTAATAAAGGTTATATGCATGTAAGCTCTCTCAAAATATCTTACTGTACTGTACTCACACTTCCTGTACTCACACTTCCTGTGAAGATATGAGATGATAAAACATCTGCATGATGAGATGAAGTGAGGTGAATGACTACTATTGACCTTTTGACCATATATCAGGAGGATCATCTGCTTCTGGACTCTAAATGACTATGCATAACTGAAACCATGGAAATTGAAACTACAGATAAGGGGGGACATGTATATGCATGTTCACAGCAGCATTACTTACAATATTGACAATAGCCCAAAGGTGGACCCAACCGAAGTGTCTATCAACAGATGAATGGATAAACAAATTGTGGTCTATCCTATAATGGAATATGATGCAGCCATTAAAAAGGATGGGTATACTGACACAAGCAACAATGTGGATGAACCTTAAGAACATGATGCTAAGTCAAAGAGCACAGAAGGCCATAGGTGTATGATTCTACTGATTTGAAATGTCTAGAATAGGCAAATCCATAGACACAGAAAGTTGATCGGTGATTGCCTGGGTGGGGGACAGGAGGAGAGCAGAATGATTGCTTAATGAGTATGTAGTTTCCTTTTAGGATGATGAAAATGTTCTGGAACTAGACGAGGTGGTGGTTATGCAACATTGTGAATGTACTAAATGCCACTGAACTTTTCATTTTCAAATGGCTAATATTATGGTTTATAAATTTTCCCTCAGTTAAAAGGGTCTGTAGACATTTCCACCCCCAGGGCTGACAAGGTGGTAGAAGCTCTAGGAATAGGTGGCATCTTCCAAAGAAAGGCCTACAACAAACCATGTTGGGAGACAAGGAAATGGGCCACAAGAGAAGGTATGAGGATGTGGCACCTCTATCAGGTTCCCAGGTGTCCCATATACAAACATACCACTCACATGGTGTTTACAGAAGGTTGTTTCTATAACTCTCCTGAGTTAGACAAGAATAATTCAGTATCATTTACTTTGTGCTTCCCATTTCTTATCTATTTTAAGTTTAGGGAAGTTTTCAGTCTGGAGATGAGCCAAGTAGGTGTGGTGCAAAGAGATGTTTGTGTTCCATCTTTGGAGAAGCAGGACATCATGAAAGCTGGTGAAGAGAGCTCTGTGGAACTCACATGGCCCCCAGCCCAGATCAGACAGAAGCCAGGGTTGCTGCATGTTCCTTTCAGCTGAGAGCAGAAGCATAGAGCCTGTATCCTTCCTTGGTTCCAGTTAAGAGACTGACTATGATATTCCCAGAGCTAGCCAGGGTAAGGCCAGGCCTTCATGGGCAGCAGAGGTCTCTTGGTTGACAGAGGTACATGCCAACAGGACCTCCCACCTCCATCAAACTACAACCCCCTGTTCCATTTGACCTTATTGTCATTACCTCTGTCTTCTCTCTGTGCACCCCACAAGACCCTTGTCTTGAGAAGGCAGGGGAAAAATGAACAGACTTGAAGACAGAGTCTGAAGTCCTTGCTTTCCCTCCCAAAGCTATGAGCCAGGAGCTGGCAGCTTATCTGCACTTGGTCATCTTAGTCATCCTAGCAGGTAAGCCATCTGGAGGGATATGCCAGGTATGGCTGTGGACCACAGCCATTGCCATGGCTAAAGAGAGTCAACATTTAACTTGGAGCTTTGTAGATTTACATACTGGATACTAGGACACTGTATCAAACACTTTGTTTCCTTACCTTTGTTCCTGATGAAATCCTAGGCAGGTATGTCTGTTTTCTTCTGATTTGGCTTTTGGTTTCTAATTGCTGTTAAAGTTTTTACATTGTCTGAAAAGATTTACTTTATGTGGTTTACAATAATAAAGCAAATACAAAATGTGGAAAGGTGATATTTCCACCTGAATTTTTCCTAGGATTTAAAACAGTTGCTTTTTCATCCTTCAGAGTTTGACAGACCATGACATCCATATGGAAAACTTCCTGTGATTGAGCCACCCATTTTTTAGTGCTGAATAAACATAGGTGATTGAGTACTTGAGCCAAAAAGATCATCTGTATTGCTTTCTTGGACTAAGCTGATAAGTATGAGCGCTGCTGGTATCAGAACTCCAGCCGTGCCAATTATTAATCCAGTGTGCAAAGACAGTAATGCGAATGGAGCTAACTAGAAACTTTAGTGTTAGACAGAAGTCATAGTGGGAAGCATACCTGAGCTGGAATCACATAATCGGCCACATCCCAGACCCGGAACCCAAGTTTAGAAGTGTTGGTCACAGTCACGCCCTTGGCTTTGGTAGTAACTGAACTGACCACAGAGTCCATTTCCTGGTAGCCTTTTTCCCATACAAACACCCACCTACAAAATAAAACAGGTTTCTTACATGGACATTAAGATTTGTTAAATTTGAATTGACACTGGAGAGCCTCTGATAGCCAGAGTCGTATGTTTACTAATTATGTGACTGCAAAAGCTGCTTAACTTCTGGGGGCTCCATTTTCACTTCTGCAAAATGGGCATAATAGCTCCTAAACCACAGGGCAATTTGTGGGAAGTAAACGAGGTGATGCAGGTAAAGCACTTAGCACAGTGATCAGCATAAAAACAATGCACAATGTATGCTGTCTTTATTAGATATTTGAGCACCTTTAATGTGCTATGACCTGCAGAATCACCAAGATAATAAAAATTGTAAGTTATCATTGGAGAGCTTTTAGGTGCCAGATACTGATCTAAGCTCTTTATATGTATTAACTAACTTAATCCTGATGACTTTATAAGGCAGACGTTATCATCATTCTCCACTTTACAGAGGAAGAAACCAAGACACAGAGAGGTTAAGTCACATGCCCAAGGTCACACAGCTAGGATTTGAATTCAAGCCTTTTACCTCTGAAGCTTCTTCTCTTGCCCCATGCTATACTCCCTCTAAAAAGGAGAATTTCACCATTCAAGTGACTTTTAAAAATTAAATTGACATATAGTTGATATATAATATATTGGTTTCAGGTGTACAGCATAGTGATTGGACAGTTATATACATTATTAAATGCTCATCACGGTAAGTGTAGTTACTATCTGCCATCAAAGATATTAAATTATTATTGACTATATGCTCTATGCTGTACTTTATCCCATCAATTAATTTGTTTTGTTATCAGAAGTTTGTACGTCTTTATTTCCATCAACTAATTTGCCCACCTCCTCACCTTCAAGTAACTTTTTATAGTAGTTTCTTACTTTTTTCCCAAGAATTCAGGTCATGTGTATGCTTCTCTCCTCTGAAGTGTGGGCATTACTACCAGTCTGAATAATTAAAAATCTAAAGGTATTATTCCTTGGTGGTTAGGACCCTGGAACACAGACCAAAGCCAATCTTGGTTCCTATCTCAGCTCCACCACTTACGAGGCATAATGACAGCCACGTTGCTTAACTTGTTTCAGTTTCTCAGTTTTTCCCATCCTGAAGATGGGAATGATAACAGGACTTCACAGGGTTGTTGTGAGGCTAAATGAGTTAATGCATGTCAAACGCTTAGAACAATATTTCTGAGTCACCATGAGTAGGCTGAAATTGGCCATGATGGGAGTATTTACACCACAGAAATTGGCCAGTACTACAAATCAGAACTCTTCCCCACAAGAGCTGTCATTTAACATCTACCAGTGTGTATTACTGTTGTCATTATCCCTAGTATCAAGAATTTCTAACATCTCTCTCCCCTCCTCATAAGCCCTAGATGCTGAGAATTCAGAAAACCACTGGTTTGGGTTACTTATTGATAGGTTTGGTCAGAGCGGTCTCCAAATTCATTATCCATCCTAGAGGAGGGGTTTTCCCCTAACAAGTCCTCTTCTTCAGGGGTTCTAGGAATTCACCTGCAATGTAAACTTCCATTTAATTTTAATCGGACACACAGAAGCTCGGAGCAGGAAGGTCACCGTTATTTTACCACAGAGTACAGTGACTGCCAAACAGCAGACTCGTAGTTTCACACTTATCACTATGGATTAACTATTTCCTCATCATGTGACTTAGAAGTAGATAACTGAGAAATGCATTTTCAGTGTCTTTTTTAGGAAAGATTGGTATAGGTCACTATGAGAAAAGAGACCATAATTTCACCAAGATGAACTGGATCAGGAAGTTAAGAGACAAGTTTAAAAAAAAAGTATTTAATTAATATCCTGAGTCAGTTTTGCTCATTGCAAGATGGATAAAAGCATTTACTACTTTAAAAATCTTCATGATCAAAATAGAGAACACTCCGTAGGAACCCTAGAAAGCTACAGTGCCCAACAAAAGTACAACATGAGCCATATATGTAATTCAGATATTCCCAGTAGCCATGTTAAAAAGTAAAAAAAAAAAAACAACAGGTAAAATTAATTTTAACAATTTATTTTATATAACCCAATATATCCAAAATATTTTAACATGTTATCAATATATTTAACATGTTATCAATATAATGTTAACAATAAAATTAGCATGTATTAATGTATAATGTGTATTAATTTTTACTTTATCTTGGACTTGGAAAGCTGGTATATTTTATAGTGATAGCACATCTCAGTTTGGGGTAGGTACATGTCAAATGTTCAATAGCCTCATGGGACTAGTGCAGATATTGATACTTTCTGCAGTACAGATACCCTAACATAGATGTAAACTGATCCTCCCATGAGCATAAAAGCCAAAAGGAAAAGTGTGAGAGCTCCTGATTCCAAATGCTTCCAGTCCAAACCAGCAATGTGAGTTGAGTTAACCAGCTAGAGAGGGGCTCAAAATTTAAGGGTGCATCACAATCACTGGAGGACAAGGAATTGGTGGTGGTGGTACATAATGTAACTTAATGAGTCCAAACCTGGCCATAGACCAGATGGTTCTGATGTAGCATTCATGCCTGGGAAGCCCTATTATTGAAAACTGTCTTGTGCCTACTGCTACTGGGCTGATAGATATTAGAAGGCAAACCTGTTGGATTGTGCAAATTTCCTTGGAAGTGTTAACAGCTTCTAAGATCCACCTCAGAGTAGGGGAGCTGTCATTTTAAAACAATTCTTCAGGAGAGTTTTGCATGATCAGGTAGGTTTGGGAAACAGTACATTGGTCCCCAAATCTTGCAGCACATCAGAATCGGTCCCCAAATCTTGCTGCACATCAGAATCACCTGGTACTCCATAAGAATCAAAGGTCCAGGGATGGGAGCCAGCAGTCAGTATTTTTTTTTAATTCCCAAATGGTTCTAATGTTGGGGACTACAGCAATAGACCTTTGACGAAAATAAAGCATGGCCCAGATAACATCTGTTAGCTCAGCGGCTGTTAGACACTGTACAACCCCAGCGGCACCTTGAAAGTGGTTCCAGTTGGTAAGTTAATTTCAACCTCTCTCCAGTGTTGTTAAATTGTAACAGGCACACGCTATTAAAATTAAGCCCTTGGTGAGGACTGAGCGTGGCAGGGTATGGATAAGCCTAAGAGGACAGCATGGGGGTGACAGGTAGGTATCTGTGCCAAAAAGTCCCAACGACCCCACAAAGCAAAGGAAGTGAACTTTAAATGCCTTTTGGAAGTGTGATCTCTCTACTATCTTGGGTTACCACATGCTGCTCAAAGGAAAGGCCCAGAAGCCACAGAGCCAAAAGAAACTAAGCAGAAATTCCAAACCTTGGTTTCCGTCAGCAGATCTTTAGAATGAGAAGTGAAGAGCAAAGATTGAGACATTAGGGCAAAGCCGCCCACAGCCAAAGAACGTGATGGAAAGAGTCAGAAGCACAAGCAGCAGGCATGGCGAAGATGAAGGTCTAGCCAGGCTTTGCCCTTAAACACGACATCAAAGCAGTCTCCTGACCTGGAGACGCAAACGGAGCCCGTCCCAGGGGGCTACGGTACGGGAAGGGGTGGGTCCCGGCCTCGGGTTGCCGCCCCCGAGGGCGCCCACGGGGCTCACCCAATGACTGTGGCCAGGAGGAGCAGGAGCCCGGCTGGGACCCACAGCAGGGAGCTTCGGGCTGTCGGGTCATCCCAGTCCCCGGACCCCCACGGGGGCAGCGCCCGCGGCCGCGCTCACCCGATGACGTAGGCCAGGATGAGCAGCTGCACCGCCCGGTTCATGAGCCCCACTTTACGGCTGCGGATGAGCACGATGCGCGGCGTGTCGTACTGGAACAGGAAGCCCGCCAGCACCGCGCAGCAGCCCGCCATGGCCCGCACCCGCCGCCGCCTTGACGCCGGGCTCTGAGCTCAGGGCTGGCTGCCCGCCCGGTCGCCCCCTCCGGGCCCGGGAGCCCCGCCCAGGCAGCCTGGCGGCTCGAGCTCCACCTATTGCGGGCCCGGAAGGAGGTGCTGTGTCTCGTGGGTGGCTCGGGCGGAGGCGTGGCCTCCCCGACGGGTACGAGTGACGCCTTTGAAGGGTTGGCGGTCACGCCTCAGCCTCTTGGGGCTTGTGGAGTTGGGGAATGACTTCCCTCTTGGGGACCAGTGGCCGCCTCGAGAGGGCTGGGCAAAACAGAGACTCCGTCCGAGGGGTGACCTCCCCTTCGGGAAGGAATGATCCCTTTGTGGGACTGGGAGCCGGGGAGGACAAGCGACCCCCAACCCCACTTAAGAGGGGCCAGGGCCAGGAGTTGTGAGGTCTAAGTGACTCCCTCAGGAGCCGAAGGGTGGGCGAATGGCCCCCCAGGAGGGCCGGGATCTGGGGGAGCGTGTGACCCTCTTAAGGGGGAAAGCCCTGGAGGAGTGACCTCTCCCTTGGGAATGGGTTACCCCCCTGCAGGGCCAAGGTGAGGGGGTTTATGAGCGACCGCCTTAGGGGTCTAGGAAATAGGAGTGACCTGGGGAGGAAGGGGGGCGGTATAGGAGAAAGAGGAGGTCCTCCGGTGATCCAAATTTGTGCAGGCTATAATGGAGGAGATCCAGGGTGTTGTGCTGCCTTCTCAACCTTTGGGGTAAAAGCCTAAATATCACGATGGTGCCCAATGAACCCTGCTGGAGCCACACACCCTATAAAATACCCTTCCTGGAATTGAAGCCAGGCCCTGTCCATACTCCAGTTCAGATGCTTCCTTACTTGCAGAACGCGGGGGGTGGGGTGGGGGGAGTGGAGGCGAGGAAGCAGCCAGAGCCAGGTGATGGGTTTCTGTGTCTGTCTTTTAACTGAAAAAGTTTAATCCCAACTTTAGGGAGAATTGGAAAATAGAGGGAAAGTGGAGGAAACACCTACAGTTCTACTTCTTGAACATAATTTTCCACGTTTGTTCATTACCTTCAGGTATGTTTTATATTTAGTTTCATTAATTCATTCAACAAGTAATAATAAACATCTTCCATATGACAAAGACTGTCCAGTGAACAGAACATCCTGCCTTCGTGGAGTATAAATTCTAGCAGATCATTGCCTATATAAATTTTAGTTTAATCATAGTCTATGATGGTGCTTTTCATTTCCTGATTCACATTACTGGTTTTCCATGTTACTGTGGGCTTGTAATGATCATTTTTAATCTATGCACTCTTCCTGGAGGATGTGCCACGATTTTCTTAACTGCTGTCATCTGATTGCTTCTAGTTTGTGGGTTTTATGCATAATCTGTGATATATTTCAGTTCATTTCCTGGATGTGATATTACTAAGCTACACCACCTTGTTTTTCCAAATCTAAAAAGGTGAATAATAAGCAAATTTGAAGAAAGCAGACAGTATCTCCTTGAGAGAATTGTTGAATTAGAGGGTAGAACAGAGCTGCTGTCTACCTCAGCCCAAAATGGTCCTAGGGAAAGGTGGTGACAGGTTGACTGGGATTTTATTAATTCATTTCACAGATACTTACTGAGTGCCTATTGTGTGCTTGGCAGTGTTCCTGATGCTACAGATACGAAGGTGATCAGACAGATGAAGTCTGCCAAAATGGAGTTTGGGGCAGTTGGCTGGGCTTAAATTCTGTGTATAAAAGGAAAACCCAGTTGCTAAATTCTCACTGGTAAGGGATTTAAAAATGCTTTTCCTTAAGAATCAGAACACATTACCAGCTCTCATTATTACTTATCCTATAGTAATAAGTTGGTCCCAGCCTTACAAATCTTGAATTTAAATGGTTTGCTTGCATCTTGAAATAAAGTCAGTTAAGGGAAGTGAGGAAATGCAAGTTTTCCTAAATCACTACTTAATGACATATCCTGAGGCCCAAGGGGAGAAGCTGATCCTGAAACATGATTAGGAAAAGAAAGTTATTTCATTTGCACTCTTGCTCTTAGTTTATCTCTTTTTAAAAACAGCTTTCTTGAGGTATAATTGGCATACAATAAACTGCTCATATTTAAACTGTACAGTCTTATGAGTTTGGCATATGTATATACCATGAAACCATCACCACAGTCAAGACAGTGAATGTATCCAAAGTGTTAGCCAGAGTAATCTTAAGTTTATATAAAGTAAAAGGAACTGCTGATTACAGTTGGGACTTGTCGCATGGGTACATTGTAATCACATTCAGTTGTGTGTTTGTTGTATGTTTGAGTATAGTCAGTTATTGAGCGACCTTGGGATTTTAGTTTAAAAAAGATTTTCAGTAAAGGTGCCAAGATAATTTGATGAGGAAAGATTAGTCTTTTAAACAAACTGTGCTGGAACAACCTGGATATCCACATGCAAATGATGAAGTTAAACCCCCTACCTCTTACTATATATAGAAAATTAACTCAAAACAGATCAAAGACCTAAATGTTTAAACAAAGAGCTTTAATTGCAGGATTTTGGATTAGGCAAGGTTTAAAGACATGACGCCTAAAGCGCAGGCTACAAAAGAAAGAAATGGATAAGCTGGGCTTTGTCAAAACTTAAAACTTTTGTGCTTCAAAGGATACTATCAGGAAAGTGAAAAGACAATACACTGAATGGGAAAAATATTTACAAATTATATATAAGGGTCTAGGATCTTAAATATCTTAAGAGTTCTTTATAGAAAATACAGGTAAAAAACAGACACACACACACAGTCAATCGATTTTCAAGCAAAGCATCAAAATAATTCAATGCAGAAAGAACACACTTTTCACTATATAGTGTTAGAACAACTGGATATATCTATGCAGTTAAGAATTCATCTTGATCCCTTCCTTACACCAAATATAAAAGTTATCTTGAGATGGATCATAGATCTAAAAGTAAAATAGAAAATCATACAGTTGATAGAAGAAGATATAGAAGACTATTTTTTGCAACCTTAGGATAGGCAATAATTTCTTAGAACTTATACAAAATATAGTATTCATAAAAGAAAAACTTGATAAACTGGACTTCATCAAATAATCCTCTGCTCATCAAAAAAATGAAAAGGCAATCTTGAGGAGAAAATGTTCACAATACATACATAAGACAAAGTACTTATGTTCAGACAACAATCCAATTTATAAAAATGGGCAAAAGACTTGGACACTTCACAAATGAAGGTATACAAATGGCCGATAAGCACATTAAAAGATACTCACCATTGTAATGGAAATGCAAATTAAAACCATTATGAGATTCCACTATATTCCAGTTGAATGGCCAAAAAAGACTGACAAGGTCCAAGTATATGTCAAGGACAGAGCAACAGGAGCTCTCACCCATGCTGGTGGGGATGTAAAATGGTATAACCAGTTTGGCAGTTTCTTAAAAAGCTAAAGATGCCCTTAACTTATCACTCAGAAATCCCACTTCTATATATTTACCCAAGGGAAAGAAAAACCTATGTCCACACAAGTGTTCGTGTGGAATTGAAAAGGTGAAGCTTTATTCATATCAGCCAAACCGTGGAAAGAGCCCAACAAGTGAGGAAATGTATAACCGATGTGTGCTGCAGCCACACACAACATCAGCACTAAGCAATCAGAAGGAACAAACTACTGAGAGCCGTGATATGGATGGATCTCAACAGGGTTATGCTAAGTGAAAGAAGCCAGATGCAAAGACTATATACTGCACCAAATTCCAGAAAAGACTATAATAACATAGTTACAGAAAGGAGACTGGTGGTTTCCCGGGGGAAATGGCTGGGAAAGGGTAAGAGGTACAAAGGAGATTTTTGGGTGATGAACATGATTCTAGTGGTGGTTACACAACTGTATATATTTGTCAAAACTCATCAAATTATAGATTTTTAAGTGGGTAAAAAAAAAATTCTTTAACTTTTATAACTCATTGATAAAATGACATCCCAATTAAAAATGGGCAAAAGATTTAAATAGATATTTCTACAGAGAAGACACAGTGGTCAGTAGGACATGAAAAGATGTTCAATATCATGAGTCACTGGGGAAATGCAAATCAAAGTCACAGTGAGATACCACTTCATCCCATTATCATGGCAACATTCAAAATGATGAACAATCAAAAAGATGGCAAGGCCATGGAGAAATTAGAAAACTCATACACTGCTGGTGGTTAAGTGACATGGTTTCTGCTTCAGAAAACAGTGATAATTCTAATGATCTAGCAATTTCACTCCTTGAAATATACCCAAGAGAATTGAAGATATGTTCATACAAAATCTTGTGCATGAATGTTTAGAGCATTATTCATAATAGACAAAAAGTGGAAATAACCTAAATGTCCATCAACTGATGGTAAATAAAATGTGATCTGTAAGGTGGAATATTATTCAGCCATAGGAATTAAATACTGATAGATGCTATAATGTGCATGAACTTTGAAAACATTATGGTAAGTGAAAGAAGCCAGGTACAGAAGGCCACATATTGTATGATGGTATTTATAGGAAATGCCTAGAATAGGCAAATCCATACAGTCAGAACATAAATTAATGAGCAGTTGCCTAGGCCTAGAGGTAGAAGGAATGGAGAGTGATTGCTAAGGAGTATGAGGTTTCCATTTGGGGTGATAAAGATGTTCTGGAAATTAGATAATGGTGATAATTGCAAAATCCCTGTGAATATACTAAAAATCATAACTGTACATTTTTAAAGGGTGAAGTTCATGATATGTGAATTATATCAAATTTTAAAAAATGGAGTAGACAACCCAAGGCCTTAGAAAAAACAAAGTACACACCACACAAAAATGGGGTCATACCTTATGTCCTTTCTTCATAGGGGAGCACCTTAGGCCCTCATATAAAACTTTTTTTTAAAGTATCATTGATATACAATAAGCTTATTTTTATTTTAGATAAAGTTCTCTAACTGGATTATCTGGTTCCATTGTTCCATTTTAAGCTGTTTACTACAGTGTTCTTCCTCTGAAAACTACCCTTCCTCACAGTGGTGGCCCCAGCAGCCATTTTTATACTGTGTGATCTTATCGGTTGGACCACAGGGGGTACCTGATCCCAAAGGGCTAAGCTGATTCTGCACTCTGGGCTGTGGCCCTGGGAGAGAGGCAGTTCTTTTCTCTAGAACTGAATTGATGTAACCTCAGGGTTTGTGGCAGCTTCTCCTGTTCTTGGAGAAGCTGAGAAGGGGAGTCTGCAGAAACAAAAGAATGAAACAGATGGTGGGGTAAGGGGCACACAGGCGAGAGAGACAAGAAAACGGCCTCTTTGGTTTCTGAGTTTCTACTTCCTGGTTCTGTCCTGTTGGTTCACTTTTGCCCTTAAAATACTTCCGTAACTTTATAATAAATGTTCATTTTCCCCCTTAAACTAGCAGACTTTTGAAACTTGAAATTGAGAAGACTTCAGCTACGGTGCTAGGTTCCAAGATATGAAAAACGTACTGTCACCAGTAATGTGGGTGTTAAAACAAATGTTTGTATAAATGCAGCAAATTAGAGGTGGGAGGCACTATCTGAGGCCACCAACACTAAGAGCAGCAACAAATAAATTAATAGTCAGTAAAAAGAAACAAGTTCCTATAAAAAACAGCCAAACACTTCAAAAGCTCGTCAGTCTGGGACTGTTGAGAAGCCAGCAGTGCTGACTTGGGTGCACCTCAGGGCATCATTTGGTTAAAACATGGTAAGAATGTTTATTGCAATCGCCTTAAACCACAGAAGGCCAGTCAGATGAAACTGTATCCTTTGTTCAGGAGTATCATCAAGGAAAAATGTTTAAATTAAATGTTCAGGCATTTAAAGATCTAAGATTCACTCTCCTGGCACATAGACATGGTGAAATACGTCATTGTATAACATAACAGATACATGTAGTCCAAGTGTATAATTATATATACCTCCAGAAACAGCACATCCTCTAAATAAAGAATAAGATGGTAGCAAAAGTGAGGAATAAATTATAATTTGTGGCTGCTTTCCCCATTACTGAAGCTGTTGTGA